AAGAAGAAACAACAGATAAATTATCAGAGAAAAAATATTTAAGGCAACTTCATATAATTTAAATGTAAATCATCTCTAGAAGTTAAAGGTCGCTAGATAATCACCTTAAAGAGAAGTTAAAGTAAAGAAATAAAAAATGGTTTGACAGTTGTAATAACAATGACTACGATTTAATGCTCGAAACTAATCGAACACTTAAAGAGCCCGAACTTTGCCGGTAAAGAGCGTCTTTTTGAATGACCAAAAACTCTGAAACTTAGAACCATCACCTTGTACAACAAAAGTGAGGGTAATAATTTCACTGGGCAATATGTAAGCAACGCTTTCACACGCTCACACTACTATTATTATTCATTCAAAATATTTCCCCGATTCTGATTGGCTAAAAGTACACGTTTAATTCATCATAACCAGTTACTGATGACCAAATTTGGAAGAATTTTGTGTTTAGCGAGGAAATGACATAAAAACTGAAAGCAGCGTTCTTGCAGGTTAATGCACCGTTAACCGAGAAGACCTGGGACGAGGTTGAGTTGTTTGGGTTGTGAAGTTGAAAAATGGCGTACATTTCACTCGTTTCAAGAATAAGAACTAGGCGAAAAAATAGCTAAAAACATGGCAAGAACAGCAAGAAGACAACTCGAAGGACGACATCTGCTATTTGGAGAATATTTGCGGAGCTGAACAACCCTACACGTGCACTGTCGAAGATGAACTTACCTTCGATGGATCGATGGAGGTTACCCTTTTTTATCCATGTTTTGAACTAGGAATTAAATTGAATGAATAATAAAACAATTATTGAATTCGGCTTTCGTATCATATGAAGAATTATTGCAATCTCGGAGAGCGTTATCCGCCTCGGCCTACGGCCGCGATGGATAACACCCTCCTCGATCATAAGATACTCAGCCTCATTCATTAATTGTTAAATAACAAATGAGCCCGAGGCTAAAGACATCAACTTCCCTTGGGCAAAAAATTCCTAAATACGATTCCTCTGTTTACAGACAATAATACCACAAATTACTACTCAACATACACAATTCACAACATGTTAATCTATTTATTTATTTCTCTATTCATTTATTTATCTAATGTAAAAGATTAAATAATACATTTTACGTAAATTCCTGTAAATAATTATCTTGAAAATATCAACATACATTTACAAAAATGAACACCCTCAAACACTAAATTAATAAATAATTATAATTCTCTTGGGCAAAAACTTCCTAAGTACGATTCCTCTGTTTACAGACAATAATACCAGAATTAATGCTCAACATACACAATCCACAAGTTGTCAATTTAATTTACTTATATCTCTATTTATTTTTTATTTAATTAATGTAAAAGATTAATACATTTTATGCAAATTTCTATAATTATATTGAAAATATTAACATACATTTACAATAAACACCCACAAACACTAAATTAATAAATAATTATAAAAATATAAAAAAGTACACTTGTTTCCAAAAGAAAAAAAATATATGGCTTTAGAACCATTGTCTACATTAAAGAAAAAAGAGATAGGCCCTTTGCAGCTAGCATTAACGTGACTGCTTAATGCAACATTATAGTATACAACTTAAGCAATACAAGAGATTGAAAGAGATAGAACGAGCGAGGAAAATTCGTCCAGAAGTCAATTCTTCGGTGACTGATAGGAATAAAATGTTATGATTGTTGAAATGTCTGCAACGTTATTAGGGTTTGTATGCAAAAAAAAGTCTTCAACCGCAAGCCTAGCGGTCCAGAGACTTGCTCAATTGTTACACTTGCTCAAACCCCATAAAAATCATACAGTCAAGAGTCTGAAGCCTAAAAATTGACAGACCCACTCATTATTTTATGCTCTTTCAATCTTCAGTAATTTTAGGTAAGTATCTTAATATAATTTGGCACGAGAAAGGTCACGTGACCCTGAGCTTCAAAGGACCCAGGGTTTTTCTAAATAGCGTGTTGTTTGTAATTACACACAAAGTGTTTTAATCTGCTTATACTGATAATTGGAACTGAACGTAGCTAAAAAATCGTTACTTTATTTGATAGAATGTTTTGTTATCGTACTTGCTGGCAAACACTGGCCAAAACACTTTAGTAGATTACTGGTACTCCAAACAACCTCGTGACCTATTCCTCCAAAGTTTCTGGTTTGAGACCTTCCCAAAAGGAACAGACTGAGGTAACCAGGGGGGCACTTCCTTATAAGGGGCTAATGCGGATGTGCCGCTGGATGGGGTCGCATTTACACGACTGGATTGACTATAATGGGGTCGCAAATTTTCTGATTTGGGGGGTCAGAGAGTTTTTAATGTTTACGGTAAGCAAGCGTACCAGAATGTTTGTACTACAGTAAAAACCCGCAAGTAAGAACCTACATTTTCTGGAGTTAGCCTAAACAGGTTCTTATTTAAATAGTAGTTAACACAATTTCAGGCTATTTAGGTTCTTATTNTGTGCCGCTGGATGGGGTCGCATTTACACGACTGGATTGACTATAATGGGGTCGCAAATTTTCTGATTTGGGGGGTCAGAGAGTTTTTAATGTTTACGGTAAGCAAGCGTACCAGAATGTTTGTACTACAGTAAAAACCCGCAAGTAAGAACCTACATTTTCTGGAGTTAGCCTAAACAGGTTCTTATTTAAATAGTAGTTAACACAATTTCAGGCTATTTAGGTTCTTATTTCTGTTAAAAAAAAAACAAAAAATAAAAAACAAGCTACGAAAAGAGATGGTAATCTGCGTGTTTTTCAATTTCAAAATGCGATACAACAATATTAACGTCTTGCACTATATTTTTTTTTACATCAGTAAATTAGCACTTTTATTTGCACAGCAATACCGCAATACCAAGCTCCTAATTCTCCAAACAGGATCTTTGCACAGCTTGTGCAGCTGCATTTCACTAATATTACTTAGAAAAATAGGAACCTGTTTTTCATTTTCTAGGCTGAACAGGTTCTTGTTTATAGGGGTTATAAATGGCAAATTTTAGGCTAAAATGTTCTTAATTTTCAGGTTCTTACTCGTGGGTTTTTACTGTATAGGTGAAGTAAAGTGTTCTTCATTCAATATAAGGTATATACATAAATACAAGGTGACTAAGTTGGGATCGCGAAAATTACGTATTTGACCAAAAGTGACTAGGATGGGGTCTATAATTGACCACAGAATAGACTATAACAGGGTAGGGGCACTGAGAGGCCAGCGGCACATACCCAGCAAAAATTAACCCAAGTACACCCCCCCTCCTCCCCCCCGGGAGGTAACCTTGGTGGGCACGTCACTTAAGTGACTCTTTTTAATTGGTGTCGTTATTTCTACGCTGCAGAATTTACGGTTTAAAAATTAGATATGGCTAAATATTATACAGTTGACTCCCTATAAAACGAACCGTTATGGAAAATCACTGAAAGGGGCTGTGTCACGAAATTTCTCAAAATTCAAACAGTTAGGACTACCACCAAATTGAGCGAAACATAAAAATGACTGCTCTGGACATTAGAAAAAGATATCACAGCCTGTACAAAAGAAGGCCTGAATGGGCAAATTCATAGAAGATTGAAACGGATTGCAATGATGGTTTTTGAAAACTTGTTAGCCTAACAGTTTTTCAAAGTTCATTCGTTTCGTCTGTAGCGTTTGATATATTTTGGAGACATATTTGTTTCACATGAAGCAGCGATCTTGTCATTTGCAGGTAATTTCTTTGCTAAGGACAAGTTCCATTGCGAATAAAGACATGTAATTAGCAATATTAATAAAATGAACCGGACAGCCGTGAGGTCACAGCCCCTTTAAGTTTCGAGTCAAAGAAAAGACAATGCATCGTTATAGAAGCAAATACCAGGGGCGTGGCTCAGATTTCTCCAGAGGTACTACCCCCTGTCCTGTCACTTGATTTATTCTCCGTTTTCTTGTCAGTAATCATCTCTCTTGGTGTCTTGGACTAGGTAGTTACGGCTTTCGCGTATGGCGAAATCAGGAAAAACCGTGCAATTTATTTTGAAAACTTATATCTGGGAGAAGTTCACTCAACACTGCAGCCAACAAAAGCGAACAGTGCAATTTCTAAGCTTTTCAGGGAAAAAAAATATCAGTAGAGCCCCTATCGGCTTTCGAGTCCTTGAGCCATTAGTCGCTTATAATCCAAGTCAACTCAGTTGTTGTTACTCTTCATCTTTGATTAGTAAGTTGTAATGTGTATTTTTTCTTATACTTAAGTACCCTTCCTTTCCCCTCTTTCTTTCTTTTTTTTTTCTTCTTTTTTCTTCATTTAACTTTTTAATTTTTTTGGTCTTTTGTTTTTGTGTTCTCTCTCTGTCTGTCATTGTGTTGTTTCATCGTGTTCAAATAAACGCTATCAAAAAAAAGAAGAAGAAAAAGAGTGCGGTAAAGTACGTGCTGGCCTGTATATCGGTTGGTCACGTGTTTATTTCCCGAGAAGGTGTTACCTTTGCGCTGCAAACGGCTGGCAACTCGCGAGGCTCACGCGACCATGTGGAAATGGCAGTCCCGTCTCAATAGAGGAGTTCACGCTCATAGTTGCATCAATTTTCGATACATTTTCTGTAATTTTGATACTGTGGAATTACAGAAAATGTATGAGAAAATCAAGGTTTCAGTCTAAGAACTTATCACGAACTTCTTTGCACTGCAGAAATAGTGTACTGTTTCTTTGAACTCGTAAGTTACTCTTTTCAAAGAGAAAGCATCAAATATATGAATTCAGGAAGAATTAGCTGGCTTTGAATTCCAATACAAACCTTCGAATTTCCCGCCATCTTGCCCCGATTACCCATGATGCAACTATGAGCGTGAACTCCTCAATGAGAGGAGACGTAAAAACAGTGTCCACGTTGCCTGGTAACATTGACATTTACTTGACGTGCTATTTTTTCATGCGAATGAATTTTGATCTCCTTAGAAAATAAAAAAGAGCAGGAATTTTCTACATTTCTGCACACTCAATAAACTAAAAAAAACCTACGCTTTCAGAGACGCTGTTGGATAACAGTAGCAAAATTTACGTAGAAGGGGGAATGTATCTTGTATACAGTATGGCTGGTCTTTGTAAGCATCAATACGACTGATATCTCCTACAATGGAAAGAACACCTCGTGTAATTCTCACAGAAGCCTCATAAAATCCATTATTTGGAGCTGTTAACAGCTGTAATTGATACAAAGTGTCTTTAACAAGAGTGTTTTCAGCTTTATCGCCCATCACGGCTTCACAATAGTCACAGGCATCATCCGAACGATGCTTGGTGTCACGAAATCTCTGCATAGCTTCGCCTGGCATGTCACGAAAAGCGCTTGTTATCTCCTTCAAAGTCAGCCGCTGACAAAAGCCGGACAGTTCTCCAGTCTGTGAGGTCAGGTTATTGATATGGTTGAGCACGAACGTCGCTGACTGAAAAACTACTTGCTCATCAGTGGAAATTTCTTCCAAATTCAGACAGGGACACCAATGATCCTCAACACCGGCACTTGCGCATGTGCGATTTCTTTCGTCAATTTTAGTAAACAGACTTTGGCCAATTAAGATTCCCGTCGGATATTCTGGGTACGACAAAATATGGCGTAAGGTGGCGTACACATCAAATGGTGACGTGAGGACACGAGAATTATGGACGAGACTGTTGTAGAGGTCAGGGTACTTTTCAGGAAACCATTTAGGCGTAGTGATCGCCAGGAATGGAAACCTTTCTTCTAGTTTTCCTTGGATTGTTTTCCTCAAGTCTGAAAACCGTGCTCCGTGGTCCGCAAAGATGATCAGCAAGGTGTTATTTCGGAATGTCTCTTTCTCAAAAGTTTCCAGAAACGATTTCAGATCTGCATCTGCGTAACCAACCGTGTTCGGGTCATCATGAGAAATAACTGCATGGGAAGAGAATCCAAACTTTGGTGTGTCTCTGTACCTGCGAAAGAGACTCAACAGATACTTCAACGAAACGTCGTGGGACGCTCGGTTATTAATACAATACCCATTGATGTGATTGTCAGCTTCCATCCAGAAGGGTCTTGCGTAATGGTCAGTGGGTGGATCTTTAAAACCATGTAAACGATAATTGAACGACGCAAAGTAAGGTGAATCTTCGGAGAACATCGTGGCGTATCCCTTGTCTTTGTAGTCTTTAAAAATCCAGCGCCAGCTGTCAACTGGTTGAGAGTTTGTTATTCTTCTCCGCGCTTCCACTTGACGTTTTTCTTCCACTCCAGTAAGCATTGCGGAAAGTTGTGCGGTGGTACCATCCCCCACAATCGTTTCACCTGTAAATCACACCAAAAACAAACCTGCACAAACACTCAACCATCCGCCTTATCTCGCATAGACTTTGTGGCAGGCGAAAAACGGAGAGGGGGAGGGGGAGAGCAAGAACTCCCATTTTCCCTCCCTCCTGATCCCCTACCCGTTTCGAAGCCTACTACACAGGCTTATTCCGCACTAAGATTTTCGATTGCCAACCAAGAGCCACTATGGCTCTTGTGCCAACTTTAAGCCGACGGGGACTTGATTCGACGCTTTGTTTTATAGGATCATTAACACAAGACTCACATAGTCGGAAAGAGTACATCAAGCTTTAAAAATCCTCAAGTTTGTGTCTATCGTGGCAAAATGGACCGAAATACAGCCATTCAAAATCTGCAAAATTTACTAAAAAATATAAAATGTTTGGACCCGCCATTCCCATGCTAATTGGCCAAAAAATTAATTCAAAAAAGAAGAATATATGACAAATGCGGTCTTTCCGCTACGTGCTAGCAGTCACTAAAGGGCAAGATCTGGATATCGGAGATTACTATTCCCCATATTCGGCTCAACGATTTTGTTGATCTTGCTGTTTTTTTTTTTTTTTTTCTCTTTTGGCTCACGGCGCTTAAACTTCTAGAGCGTTTATTTTCTATTCAGGGGTAAAGCGTAACCGTTTAAAGTTCACAGTCCGACCTTGAGAAATTTGGTAGTATTAACGGGGTTCAGTCCATATGGTGGAGTTGGACTGTATTTATTCACTATGAAATGAAAACACAGGTAAGCATGTGTAAAGTTATAGTCAGCTGATGTAAATAACGGATTACGTTTCGTCGGTAACACTTCTTTTTCGAACAAAAACACTTTGAAAAACAGCCTCTTAAAGCAGGGAGACCTAGCAAACTTCCAAAAATGTCAGGGAAATAAAAGCCTATATGAGAAGGTATCAAACTTTGAACAGTAAAAATGAAAATCCTGCCTTAAAAGACACCGTTATGACGACATCACAATGGGATTTTATGGCAAGGCATTTGAAAATTGTTTGCAGGGTAAGGCGGCAGGTTCCAAGCCTATCTTATTTCCAGCCAATCAGAATTTAGGGCGTTCCGGACGATATTGTTCTTAAGTGCGCTTTTCCATGCAAAATCAAAACCAAATCCGACTCTGTGTTTACCTCCTCAGCAAACAAGTGCACCGCCACGCAGAGCTCTTGGTCACGCAAAGTTTTCAGCGTCCTTCTTATCGAAAAAATGCCTTAATATAAAAGTGCTTTATTAGCTACGGTTTTGCAGATTTATCACGGTCGCTTGGTGGCTGCCATGACTGAGGTACGTCGCTCAATCGATCCATCGGCATATTTCAACTTTTCTAACAGCCCTGGAACACCATACTTTTGGTGATCAAAAACCTAAATTACCTAACCCCATAATCCTCTCGAAAAAACCAAAGTTTTTGCTTTTCAGTGCTTTTTCCTGGTCGACGAAGCCAACGTAAACAACTTCATTATATGGTTGCAACAGTACGCGCGTTCTGATTAGCTGCTGAGCGGGCAAAATTTCCTTGTAATGACCGGGCATTATTAACTACATGTAGCTGTCCAAGACATATACAATCTGTGTTTAACTTGATAGTGGACATCCATGTTATGGTAAATAGACAGCTGTCAAGAAAGAACCAAAAAATGAGAAGTCCAAAGACTACTGCAAAGCTGATTCAGAACAACGTGTATCGTTTCTTCATAACAATATTTCGGCTGGCCATACCAGCCCTAACCTTCTTCAGGTTTAGAAGATCAGTTTCTACGTACTGCCAATATTTCTCGTACTAAAGCGTTACAGACTAAACCTAGAGATTCTAACGATGTTGTAACACTCGTTGTCACATACAACTCAGCAGTTGCACGCATTTCTAATATCCTACGCAAACATTTTAACATCTTACACTCCTCTAAACGTTGCAAAGACGTCTTTAAAAACCGCCTTTTGTTTCTTACAGACGTAGCCCTAATCTTCGCCACCTTTTAGTTAAAGCACAATTACCCGTTATCTCCAACAATCATTTTCCGCCAGGCTTCTTTCGCTGTGGACAAAATTGTGCCACTTGTCCATACATTACTAACGGCCTCACAAGTTATACCTTTTACGCTACAGGTGTAACACTAAAAACGTGATGTACATGGTTCAATGTAACCGTTGTAATTTACAATATATAGGTGAAACTAAGCGACGTCTCAAGGACAGATTTAACGAACACAGACGTGCAGTCGACAAAACTAACACTAAATCTAAACCCACTACTGTTTCTGAACACTTTCTATCTCACTCTAACCACACTCATACTGACATGCCGTTAATCCCACTAGAGAAAATTCGTTCTTCACGTGACTCAGTTCGTAAGGCCAGGGAGTCGCATTTGATAGATAAGGCCATGACTCTTGAACCTCATGGCCTAAACCGCCGTGACGAATTATTGTAATCCGTGTCATTAGTATTTTTACTTTCCAGTTTTGGTGTTGTACGTCATTTTCGCCTCTCCCTTTTAAACAATTTTTATTGCGACATTCTCCATCTATATAATATTGTGATTCCTACATAAGTTCAGTAACATCTGTAAACCTGAAGAAGCCGAAATATTGTTATGAAAGAACAATACACGTTGTTCTGAATCAGCTTTGCAGGAGTCTTTGGACTTCTCGTTTTTGGTTCTTTATATTTTGGCTGATTAGATCTCTTTTCTAGAGATCCAACGTTTACAACTAGCAGGATCTTCGTCCACGGTTTTTGCAGTTAATTTAATCCTGTCAAAAAAGAGTATCCGCTGACCAGTTGAAATTGTCTGTACGCAAGCTCAAGTGTACAATTCATTGCGGAATACTGGAAAAAATAGCAAGAGATTAAAAGCAGCGGTTTCTCCTCCATATTCCTTTGTAACTTTCCGTGACAAGCAAATTCATGACCGAGGCGGCCCAATAAAACGGTCCACTAAGAAGATCAAGCGAGAAACTGACAGTTATGGGTTGTTGCCTGAGTAAGTTGTAATAAGTGCAACCATAACTGTCGCGCAACAAACTGAAACTCCGGACTCTTTCCAAAAGTCAGAACTGGCCGGCCGGACCTGTCATTTTGAAAATGAAATGGGCTTTTTCCAAGAGTTTTTTATGAAAAACGATTTCCTTCGTGCATGCCATCTAGGATTTGACTGATCTGGCTGGATAGCTTTAATTAAAAGTGAAGTTCTCATTACGGCGGGAATGGCCTTGCCGGTCAGTTCTGACAAATGGAAAGCGCCCTCAACTTGCAAACCGGCAAACTCTTGCCCACACTACTTGGCTTTCACACACGGAAAGGCAAATAAATTGAGTACAAAACGCGTCTATAATTAAGAAATACAAAGAAGCAAAATGCTTAGTTGGGAAATGATAATATTCAGTTGAAGGACATTGATTTTTCTGAGGAAATACTTAATAAAACACGCTAGCGTTTTAGCTCATTTAGATTTCTTTTCGGGAGAATGTCGACAGACCCCCCCCCCCCCCCCCCCCCCCCCCCACGAACCCAACACTTTCCCCCCCCTCTTCCCCTTTTGCCGCAACCCGGCGTCCTGCCCCACCACAACCACAAACCCATCCCATTCCCTCCCTACAAAAAAAAACACCAACTAGTATTTAAATATTTAAACACCCAGGTCATTTTTCTTTAAACATTTGTTTGTTGACAGGTGGGTAACACACATTAATTAAGAAATACAAAGAAGCAAAATGCTTAGTTGGGAAATGATAATATTCAGTTGAAGGACATTGATTTTTCTGAGGAAATACTTAATAAAACACGCTAGCGTTTTAGCCCATTTAGATTTCTTTTCGGGGAAATGGCGACAGACCCCCCCCCCCAGGCCTAGACGATCACAGATCTTGCCGCCTGCATGTCCTCTATGCGCGAAACGTCTGGCTACGGCCCAGCAAACCCAAATGCACGTTACCTTACCTTGCATAAAGACAGAGCCCAATGATTTGTTCAAGTATTCAAGACTACTCGGCATTTTCCGTACAAAGTTTGCTGCTGAAGTCGAGTCGAACATAACCAGTGCTACATTCAATGGAATACCAACAGGCTTTTGTGGTCTTTCGAGAACCTCCTGTTTTGGAAACACGTGCATGTGGACGTCGGTCTTTCTTTCTCCCGAGTTGGTTACGACGTCTACTCGGATGAAGTCAGCGTCTATCGATGCACTTCCCTTAAAAAGACCTAGAGGTAGAAGAAAAAACAAAAGAAAAATGGCCAATGGCATGTGAATGATTCCCATCAATGTGACAACTCCCACCAGGAACTCAAAGATCTTATCTGCGCTTCTTCTCTCGAAACATATCATTCTATAATACTGTGTTTGCTTAACAATCGTTTGACCAACCTCGCCGTCCCCAGGTCTCTGGGCTTATTTATCTCATTTTCTAAGGAAACCCCTGGGGAAGAGGGAGTTGATTGAACTTGTCTCTCTTTTGACGTCATATCTTGTACCCATAGCAATAGATCACTAACACATATTATTGACAACATCATGTATCAGAAAGCATGCAAAAAATTCAAAAGAGCCAGCCAAAAAGTAGGATGCTGGCAGGAGATTGCAATTGATCCCAAGAGAAACCGGCTTATGAACAGTTATTTAAACATTTACGTTTTGATGTTCAACTGTATTTTTTCCCATAAAGTACAAAAGATCGATGCTCAGATTTCAATAACAAAAACGGCCACGCAATCAGAGGGTGGTGTACCTGTGTAATTTTTTTTTCAGCAACATCTCGTGATAACTCCCCCCCGGGAGGGGGGGGTACTTCTAATAATTCTTGGTAGGGGTGTGCCGCCCGGTTCGCCAAATTCTGACTTTATTTCAGACCAAAAATGTTATTTTTCACACCCGTTTTCAGACCTTGCCTTTAAGAAATTATGTCATCATTACTTAGATTAGAACATCAACAAAAAAGATTTCTTAAAATCCATTTCGAATTTGCATATTTCTCTATCTTTCTTATTCATGTGGAATTGAAACGACACGTTCATACAGTCCTGTAGTTCCCTCGAAAACCATACCCGATTCCAGACCGAACGACATCCCGATTCAACATTAAGAAAAAAATGTAAGGGAAAGTGCAAAATATTTCATCTGTTTAGTTTAGTCCTGATAGTTGTTTTTTGCTTGATTTACAATCCTTTTTTTCTGAATCGATCAAAATTTATATGTTTCCATGATCCCATATGGCAGGGGAACCCAACGAGAATATAGTTCAAAACCGCTTAAACATAGCATTGTTAAACGTGTTTTAGTATTTAAACGGTAGATATAGGCATATTTTTATTCCCTAAAAATTTTTCAACTATTCGGATTTCCTTGCTGAAAGTCTAGTGATCCGAAAATTATAGGGATCAAAACTTACCTTTTCGAAAATTTCAGCCAGAAAAAAAGGCTCCCGAAAATTCTAGGTGACTTATTTAGGGTAAAAATCCTTTAAAAATGGGCAATTATTCCATTTTTTAGATGTTCGAAAATCCTAGGAGAGGCGGGCAAGCAAGAAATTTTACAACAAACGTTCCGAAAATTCTAGATCTCAAATCGTCTTCCCAACAGATATTTTCCGTAAACTGACGTTGGGTGCCCCTGATATAGATTCTTTTCGCGTACAGATTCTTTTTCTTTTCTTTTCTTTTCTTTTTCTTTTATTTAGTATACCCAGAGTACTTTTAGATCTCTAGAAATGCATTCTAAGCGGCGCTACAAAATTTGTATCTGTTCGGTCATCCTAGGGGAACTCGACTCTTTTCGAAATTACCAGGGCTTCGGATCAGTGTTATTTTCCCGAAAATTTTAGCTGCAATTTAACGTATTACGAAAGCTGGAGAATTTTCAGATTCTTCTATCCATCACATATTTGACTCCAATAATTTTAGGGTTCCTCTTTTCTACGAAAAATAACCTAACCTGGGATGTAAAATGTGAAAAATCTAAGTTCACAAAATCGTAGGGAATTGATAGGATAACCTTAGGATAACCTTTGAAAATTGAACATGAACGAACGGTCTTCAAGAAATTTTTAGGCTTCAAGCTATGGAAAATTCTAGGCAATATTTGGTTCTCCGAACAGATATTTTTCAGAAAACAGTCGCTGGGTGCCCTGTTATCGTACCTCGCTGTTTCTGGCACATACACGCACGCAAACCATGACCGATTTCCGTTACAAACACAACGAGGCTGTGACCTCTGACCTCGACATAATCTCAAACACCTCTATCGGTATCTTTTGCCAAGAGGCCAGTGATCATAGTGATGGTGAACGACAGCGAGTGACAAGAAAAGACAGAAAGAAACTAAGGATACCGCTACAAAGTGTTTTTGCTGCTCAATTTTGTGTGTGGATTTTTGTGTTCTATCTTGTTTCTCTTGATCTTGACGTTGAACATAATCTGACATTTTTACACAACTGTCACGTGTTACACCGGCGTTTTGACAGCCATTCACTTCGCTTACGCTTTACAACGTCACGCAAATGCAACGCGACTTGTTATGAGGCCAAATGCTCACTCTTTTCATACATTGTGGATGTACTCAAGGGTAAACCGGTCCGTTCCCGGTCCATGGTCAAAATAATTGCCGCGTGACATTCATCCCTCGCCACTGCAAAAGCAAAATATCATCAGAAGTTGTTATAGTAGAAGCAGCTATTATCAGGTTAGTCATTATGAATTCTAGAGAACGAACAGCCAGCGTAAAAGCGCGGAGTTTACGCCTGGGTTTCGGGCTTTTAGTCCACAGATTACGATTCTTTTATTTAATTTTATTGTCGTCTTATATTAGTATTCAATACTTCGGTCAGGTTTTATCGAAGCAATTCTGTAGTGTATTTCTTAAACGCTTTTGATTCAAGCTCAAGGCCCCAAACAAAGCAGGCGGGGCTTCGTCATGCTGTATCTGTCTTTAGTCTCTTCAGAAAGCCCTGAAATGGTGCCAGAAATATGCAGTCACTGTCTAGTTACAAACCGTTTGGCCATCTTCGAGAAATTAAAAACGAAAGCGCCAAGGTAGGGCAGAAGCCGACAGAAATTATTGCATACCAGATCCTGAGCGCCATGCTTTTAATACCTTATTTAAAACGGGATGGCTTTAGTTACGGACAATGCGAAAGTACCGCTGCGATATATCCGTCTCGCACATAAAATAATCAAACCAAAAAACCTAAGAGAAGAGAAAACGGATCTCTGAAGCCGGAACGACTTCGGTGGTTAATATGCATCTTTCTTTGGCGAGTACAGGCTCTTGTTTTTCTGCAGGAAGTCGGAACTTCTTTTGCTCCAAAGACAATGAGGTCCAATCAACGGAAAAGTCAACTGCTTTTGGTCGTAGCGGTACGAGGTGACTAAAAAACGAAAAAATTGCACAAGTTATTCCAAACTCAGATACGGTTATGATGTTCCCATGCCGTGTAGAAGTGAAAGAAAGGTCAGTGTCGCTAGACATCGTTTATGTACTCGTGACCACGTGACAACTTACACAATGCACATCGTGTGATCAAGCGAGGACGAAGGTCAGTTTTACAAATCACGTGCATGCACGTTGCTTCATGATGAAGTTTGCCAAGGTTACTGTTTGTATGTTTCCCGAAAATCCGGTTTGAAAGCAAATTGGGTGCGATTCTCTCTTGGTCCGATTGATTCCATCTGAAAAGGTAGTCCTGTTTGTCTGGACAAAATGTTCCAAAAAGAAATTCTTGCTCCATTTCTTCAAGGCCATCTCTGTTTATACCAGTTTGAGGCCTTCTTGTTCAAGGCCTTTCTCTCAGTTGATGGCACCACAGGCAGGCCAAGATCGGTGCATAACCGAACACATTATCGTGTTTTTTGACACTGTTTTGCATATTACGAACGATTTACAGACTTTTTATGAATATGGTTGTAAAAACGTATAACGTGAGTATAGTTGTTAACACGTAAAATTGTAGGCAACGATAGAAACCAACGCCTTATTCATGGCCATTTCACACTTTTTGCGGCTCGTTGTTTCGTGTTGTTTTCCTACATAACACTAAGCAAGGCAGGTCACTGTGTGCAGTCTCAACTGACAAATCTCTCCTGCATCAAAGAACAGCGCACCCATTCGTCACAAAAGCACCAAAACCTCAAAGACCAGATGAGTCTCTCATCTCTTCCCCTTGTTATGTGTTTTTGGTGGGAAAATCAGTGTTTTGAAAGCTTTCGTTTTCTGGGCAAACTGGCGTGCGCTATGGAAACTCGATGATTGAGGACGTGGGGTGGGCAGCACGATAACTGAATTTGTGAGCTACTTTCTCGTCACATTATAGTAAATTTCTTGGTACACTCCATCGGTTTTTCACGCTTGGAGACAAGTTCTTCAAGTGTCAAGACTGTGTTAGAGCTGGTCCTCTGACAGGACATGAATGGAGTTGTCGTGAATGAAGTACGGCTGTTCTTCACGATATCACAGTTTTAAGCAAAACGGGGTTTATTTCACGGCTTCAATCCTCACAATACAATGGCTCGCTCACACACTACACAAAATCGTGACTTTCTTGAATCTATGAGCTTTAGTTTTTAATCCGATCTGTCGGCAAGTTCTCTGTCGCTCTGACAGACGAGTGAAACTATTAATAACAAAATTTAAAAGGAATAAAATCACGCCATCCCACAATCACGCTACACTCTTGCTTCATAACAGGAGTACTCGAAGAAAGCTCAGAGGATGTGTTCTCACATTCTATTCACAACATTAAGAACATGATCAATGAATATATTCATGAATATGCTTTGCGCGCCTAATGGTTTCTTGGTGATTAAACCATTGACGGCCGTGCAGACCAAAATCGGCCGTACAAGATTACACTGCTTTAAAATATTGCAACTTCCTCAATCACCTAAAAATGGCCTGAACTGTCAGTAGTGAGCATTGAGTAGAATGTACTTCAAGTTGAGATATCCAATACATGCAAAAAAGTCAGCGCCTTTTGCAAAATATTACCTTTTGAATTTGGAAAAGAACAAAAATGATCGTTTTTAAGGTCACAGAAGAACGACAAAAATCGCGTTTGTTGCCTTCAGGATTTTGACAGAAATCGTCGTTGCAAAACCAAAAGTCAACATTAAATGACTTCGACGGAAATCACAACCAGGGTCGGGGGGGGGGGGTAAGTAAAATATAAGAAAAAAAAAAAAAAAGAGTGCTTCATTAGAAGAGAAAAAAAAAACGAAAAATGGCGAGTTTGTGGAATTGTAAATATGAAAAAAAACTGAAAAACAAAAAAAAAAACAAAAACAGAAAGGATAGACAGAGAAAGCAGGGGGGGGGGGGGGGGGGGGGGGAAGAGACGAGGTGTGGGACCAAGAAACGATGTTTTCACAACTTGCAAAGCGGTCACCCTGCGTGGTGGTCAGCGGATAATTGCAGTATTTTTCTCACAGTAAATATTTTTAGACTTTTTAGAAGCAAGAAGCGAACCGGCAGAGGAAATCAGAATGCTAAAAGAATTGAAAAAAATACTATCGTTTATCTTTGTTTTTCTTGCATATCGTATTTGTTTTTCGGTACTGAAATTGCGGGGAAAAACCGTGCTAGATCTTAACCAACAACAATGCGCTCGATCGATTTATAGGTCACGTCGTTTTTTCCCGGGTAAGGATAATTTGATGCTGATAAAAATTACTGGAGAAAGTGTCAAATTTATCGGAAGCAAATATATTCAGAGAGCTTTATAAATATGAGCTTACAGGTCTACAATCATAACTGAATAAACAGTCACACTTCATATCATTTCACGTCGTTTATTACGATCAGTCAACACCTTGAATCTAAAGTTAACATTCAAAACGAGCCTAATAAACAAATCACAACTACTACTGAAAGCTCTGTACCTTGAAGCGACTTTAACTTTCCTAAGGTTTGCAGCAAAACACTGCTCGATAGCTCAACTCTTCGGCGGTTCTTATCAGCTGTACAGAGCTATATGTTGCATATTCCAAACTCCGCAGAGGGAAATTGTTTAACAGGAAAAGAAAACCACACACTGTCTGAAAAGCGACATAAAATCAATAAATTTGCGAATTACCAAAATATAAGAGTGAGAAACAGTCCCGCCTTCGACTGCCATGTTGCCATGCCCCCCCTCTCCCTGATCACAACACTTCCGAAAACCACTTTAATATAATACTTCCACACTTAACACGGGCGAAACATCGTCAAATTACTCCGTAAAACTCTCGCTTTCTCCACATAAATCGTCGCATGGAACTTTTCTCGACTCACTGACAGTCGATTTATTCAAGATCCCGGTTGTAAACCAGCGGTTGAAAAGGAGACATATAGCCCCCTCCTTCAAAACAATTTTTTACTAAGTCTTTGGCCTGGTCAGAAATCAGCATGAATTTCCATCTCGCCGAACAGATTTCAACCCTAGAACCTACTTTGTGAGGCCGAAGACTTGTTACTGCCAACAACAAAGCTCGCAATATCCAATCTTTCGGTCTCAAGCCCCGGATCAGTCTTTCACCCGTGTAGCCCGAAATAAGGCGAAATACGAGAAGATATTGGACGCAGCAAACTTTGCCAGACGTGATAATTGCTCCTTCATAAGGCTTAATGATGCCTTCCGGAAGACTTTGCTCAAGGCAGCCAAAAAAAACTCTAAGACAACCCACTATGAGAGCCGAGTTCGGTCTAATCCGCGCGCTGATTTCAAACTGACATAAAGAGAGAATTATGGGAAGATATGAAAAACTTTGGGGGTGGGGGTGGTAGATTGATACCAGTGAGAAACTCATCAAAGTCTTAGTACTGCAGCCTATTCAGTAAATATTCGGTACAAATTAAATGAATAAAACGTAACTATGAAAAACAAAAACAAAAAAAACATGCTCCACTACAAGACTCAGTCAGAAGGTATGTGAGGGAGATTGCTATAACCATGTTTTTGCCAATCCAGTCAGATATATATGCTAAATTTTCATTCTCACGCTGAACTTGAGAATGGCCGAAGCACGCAAACGTCGTTGTAAACTTTTACCATTTATTTTTACCTTAAATAATAATAATAATAATATAATAATAATATAGATTTAGCCAGGGCTAAAAGCGAAGCTCCCGTTAATAAATTCATAATTTAAATGAAACAATAAACTTGCAATCCACAGATCAGGGTACATTCATGTGACTTTTGAGGCAAAGGCTAAGTGATTTTAGAGAAAAATAATTTGACAGTCCAGGAGTGAAACAAACTTTACATTGAGTTAGTAGTCTTATTTGTACACCCAAAAATAGCAATCATGTTCGATCACAGTAGATTAGGCCTGGAAAGTGTATTGTATTTGCATTAGCTGTTGCATCATAATGTGGCATTCACCAGTCTCTCCAACATTGCTCCGTTTGAGAGACTAATAATTGGACAACCCTGAAATATAATACTATGAAGGAACGGTGAAGCAGACTATTTTTCCCGAAACTTCGTGTACACATTAAGGACAACAACAACTTGCCACATGATAAGTTTCATCGATTTTTATTTCCATTTTCTAGCAAATTTCCAGACCTAAACTTCGCCACATATGTTCTCTATATTTAACCATGTTATGAAATCCGAACGTGGCACTAACAGTGAGCCTGGGTTACCTGTGATCAAAGCACGCCCTTCCTTTGCACAACAAATTATAGCATTGAGCACATTATAAAACGTTTTCATGAAGAGAATTCCATAATGCCGGGACTTTTCAGTTAGAAAAATCTGTTCCTATGTGATATGCAGTTTAATAATTATGGGCTTTTAGTGAAAACGATGAAAAAAATTCCCAAAATCACCTTTTCGGCCAGCCGGACGGGTTCTCACTTTTGACAGGCACCAAATTTGCAGTGCGATTAAAAGAGTTACGCTTCAACATGATAGAGATTTTGTTATGTTTAGGTTTTATTTCCCTGTATTTGTAAAACTGTTTATGGTCTTGTTATGTGTAATCTTTAAAAGCTAGTGATTATTTACGCGCTGCGTTTTGAGTATTCCTGCATGCGATGTTTATGTTCGACTCGAAACAACCGGTGCAGCGATAAAAATTGCGAGAGGGACTACTAACAATCAATAAAATAAATATAATTCGGTGAAACATGTACAGAGACAATAATTTTCATTCACGAAGACAACTATTGAGAGTAAAGTGTCTCTGAAAATCATGAGTCAGGTAAGCATATAAAGCTTATTTATGTTTTAAGCCGGCTTCCCGGTGTCTGCTCTTTTGCAAGATGAACTCGAGGCAAGAAAATCGCTCAGAGCTTTCTGTTTACAGCCAAAATCATAACTAAATATTCTTCGGAACCTTTTCTTTGAATTTGCGGTCAAAAGACGTCTAAAGGATTTTTAAACCTGATACTATTGTAGGTTAGATCATTGCTCGTGTATAAACTTAAGCCGCATAAACAATACGCTCGACGTCAGGAAACCGAAAAAAAAAACACACATCAAAGACAATAATTGCTCAGGCTTACCAGTCGAGATGCTGCTTCTGAAGGTCATCAAGTGTTCCAGAATCGCTTGAGACTTTTCAACCCTCTTACGCCTCAAGCAAGGGCAAGTGAGTAGGCTCATTTTTGAAAACGATGCCATCCGAAATCGGATTTCCAAAGACTTTGACAAGCGGTGCATTTGTCAATAAAAGCGCAATAAACAAACCAGCCATGAATTACAGAACAATCTTGATAGCAGCTGTATTTCATTTTGTACAGCAAGTGGAAAAAGACAATTAAAAACATCACAAGTTGACACAAAACTCTGTCAGCTTCAGCTGTCAAAGTAAACAATTTTCCAGACGCTGCATAAATTTTCCGCATGAACTCACCTGTCAAATTTTGACCAATCAGAACACAAAAATTGGACTTAGAGCGTGATCAACGCGTGACAGTGAGAAAAGTAAAAAACGATTGCCTTCCCTGCATGTAAAAGCCGGTTGAATTTTCGCGTCCGAGGTCAGTTCGAAATCAAAATTTTAAAAGTGCGGCTCATGAACACGACTTATTTTATATGCATTTTAAAAAAATTGAACTTGAGCCTGCGATCATTTGAAAAGTAGCAACTTGTCAGCGGATAACTTCAAAAAACAATCAAACTCAGTGGGTCGATACCTGAGCCGGCGATACGGTCAGGCGATACTGGTCAGCAGAAACACTATTTTGACAGCTGTCATTTAATCAAAACATGGATGTACAATATCAGGTTGCAGGCTCCCAAACTAGCTAGAAAGTGTGAGTTAAACATTGGTATGCCTGTGGTGCGGACGGACGGAAGGTCGGGTGGTCGATGTAGGTCACGTGATTGCCGAATTTTCTAGGATAGATAGATTTTCTAAGCTATGGGTGACCTCAATGGATAGAAAAATGAGCCCGCAATACAGTCAGGTGATGATGGTCAGCGTATACTCTAGTTTGACAGCTGTCAATTAACCTTCATTAGAATGGCGAATATTCGAATTAACAGACTACGAGTGTGAGTAAGACATATCCGTCCGGCTTGTAGTGGAAAATGACAGATCGTGTACCTGAGCGAACCTGAGCCCAAGTTAATCTATGCACATATCCCATTTTGACAGCTGTCAATTGACCGTAATTTGGCTTGCCAATATAACTTTAAACGACTGTCAGCCGACTGACAGCCCAGCCCGGGGTAGTTTCGTTTTTATGTTGAATTGGTAAGTGTGACATATTATATCAGCTTATATGTAGGGGCAAAACGACTGATCTTTGATCTGAGCCCGCGAGATGGTCATGTGATAATTGTCAGCGGATGTCTGTTTTTGACAGCTGTCAATCTAATCGTACTCATACGGATGGCTTACAAAACTGAAAGGCTAGTCAAGTTGTGCAAGATCTATTGTGACATTTGACATCGGCTTACATGAAGTGTGTGTACGGGTGGGCGTACTCTACGTCATAACCAAATTTTCTCGGATGGATAGTTTACCCAATTTTGTTACCCATGGTGCTCCGCTGCGCGCGCTTCGCGCGCGGGAGCTCCGCTAATAATAATAATAATAATAATAATAAGGGGGAGAGAAACATCATCATCATCATCATCATTAATAATTTCATGATAATAATAATGATAATAATAACGTTTAAAAAATTTAGGGGTAGGGCAATCTCCACTGCCTCGTCTTTTTGCAGTCATTATCGCCATTATTTATGTGCTCAAGAGAAGAATTTATGTGTTTTATAAGAGAAACTCATATGGTCAGATATGTCGGAATTTAACGAACAACTTTTTTAACATAAGAATTATTTTTTCAAGTTAGGCCTGGTTCAAACGTCGAATTTCACATGTGCCGAACTTAACGCCAGAGTTAAATACATGTGAACTGCGACGTTTAAATCAATTAAATTCGACTTTTTAAATTAAATGCGACGTTTGCCGTGTCTGCGACTGAAACAGTCAAAGGTTCGACTTAGGTTTGACTTTTGACTCAAACGTCGCATTTCACATGTGCCGAACGTAATGCATCAAGTTTAGTAAATTATTATTATAATACTGGGAATATTGACAGCGAGCAGAGTTAAATTTGACAGAGTTCAGAGAGTTAAATCCGACGTTTGATTCAACTATTTTAGTCCACTAAAATAGGAATTAAGTTCGGCACATGTGAATTCGACGTTTGAACTGGGCCTTAACCCAATCATTTCAAAACAAAACAATTGGGTGCTACAATAATTTCTTTAATAAACTCAACCACTAAACAAAATATTTATTGTTGTAACTAAACAATCTGGGGTATTTTCACTTACGACCATGGATGTTTAAAAAAATTATGGAAAGGGCTGCGAAAAAAATTCTGCAAATACTAGTGATAAAAATTCTTTCTCAGCGGAAATTGCCGAACCCTAGCCCCCGCTTAAAATTGAACGGTCTGTCCCTTAGTCAGTACATTAATAACTCTATGGCAAACTACCATATCTCTGTCGCTCAGTTTTCGGTGTCGGTGTCAGTGCTGTTGACGATGGATTTCACCTTTTCCAAGGTCACTTTTTACTGTTGCTGTCTCTCCTTTTAATTTTAAGTTTTCTTTGCGAAGAGATTTTTAAAATATGACAAGTCTTTGAGTCATTTATCTGGTATTTACACTGCTGGGAACGCGAAATCACAAGCGAACTGTTCAAGGTATAGTGATGTCACGCGCGACGTGTGATCTGACCCATACTTTAGTTGTATTTCGTAACGGCCGCTCTCGGCTTGATTCAACATGACTTCATAAAACACAGAATTTTGCACCTTTTGGCTGGCTTTTTTGCCCAAATATAAGAAAGATGAATAAAGATAACTCAACGTATGTTTTTCAGAGCCGTCTTCTCATAATAATAGTAATTTTATTTCTACGTTTACGTGGCCTTTTATCAGTCCCTTGAAGCTTACACTCACCACAAATATATTTATAGAAAACGAGAATGTCCTAAGATGCGCGGGATATCACAATGTCTCGAACAGTTCGGATGGTCCGCCTGTACTTAAATGTTTGAATGACAAGTCTACTAGGTCACGTTGTGCATTAGGAAATTGAAAACTTACTGAAGTCTTTTGAAGTACCGTAACTCAAGAAATTCGCTACATATGGTAGTGCATTAAGCACCAGACACGATTTTCAAAATACTGAGTCAAACCCAACCCTACGGACACCCGCTTAATACCGACACGTCATTATTACGGACAGTTTGCTTTGTGCCTGGGAAAAGAAAGCCCTTAGATTTTCCGTAAATTCAATTCAGCGGACACCCCGTTAATATGGACACCGTGTTAACGGGGTTTGATTGTACTGTACTAATTTATTCATTTCCGGTTGAAGGACTTGTTCAAAGCTCAACTCAACTTAAAATACAAAGTTGAGTGACAATGGAGTTGCACAATAGTGTTGATAGAAGGTCAGACGTATGAAGCAAGTCACGACATGTACACAAAAGGTGCTTTGTTTGAAACAAGATAGCAGTGCTCACTGTTTACCATGCTTTTGTTATTGAAATGCAAAGACCCACGACGGAGTAAAACGTAGACCTGGTAGACTTGAAACAGCTGCCATTGGCCAGAAATTTTCCATTATGTTAATATGCTGGTGCATGCTATCAACCCACAACTGACGACAGCATTGAACGAGACATGTGGCTCGCGGCTAGCATGTTTGCAAAACAAAACACGTACTCGAAACCGAATTGCTTATTTACTGTATGTTTCTATGATAACGTTGCCCATATACAACCCGCCCCCTATAGTTTATTTCGAAACAGAAACACTTGAAGTTACATTATCGGTTTCTTCCTAAATACATTAAAAACACTTTTTAGGATATCCAGAGTTCTAAAAGCATTTTAAGTGGCACTAAAAATGTCTATCTGTTCGGTCATCCTAGGGCAACTTGAGTCTTTTCGAAATTACAAGGGCTTCAGAATTATTTTCCCGAGTATTTTAGACGCATTTTAAAGTATAAAGAAAGTCAGAATTTTTTCATTCCTCTCTTCATCGCATTTTCGAATCCGAAAATTTTAGGGTTCATTTTTCTACGAAAGTAGAAGTGAAATGCGGAAAATTAAACTTTAGAAAATCGTAGGGAATTTGTTATAAGCTTCGAAACTTGTACAGTCGAACCTCTCTAATACGGACACCGAAGGGACAGAGCAAAGTGTCCGTATTAGAGAGGTGTCCGTTGTATAGAGGTCTTGAATATTACGTCACTTTAAAGGCTCCATTGATGGTATTAAGTGTTCTTTAAGTCGAAATTGGCCCAAAAAAGGCTTTGAGGTGCATTTGAATTGTTTAATGGACATAAGACTTAGTGCGGCAAAAACAAGATTTACTCAGTCAAAGTTTAGAATGCTACAAGTCATGCAATGTGTAGTGCTAGTAACCTCCTTTGAGAGAGAAAAAGAAAGGGAACCACTGTTCAAGCAGACTCTCAAGGTCACGTTTCACATTATCACGAGCTTGTGAGTCGTGTTTGGCCTGTCAACGCTTATTTCTTACATGTCGATAGTATAATTTTTACCGATTAACATGATAATTGGCTGTGGTCACACTTGGGATTTGACGTTGGTAAAAGGCTTTAACCGTGGTAAAAAAAATGTAAAAAAAACTTTACTATAGTAAAACTCATTAGTTGACTTAACACGTTCCAGATGGTTTCCCAACAGAAATGTGTCACTCCAATGATGAGCCTGAGGACAGGTGATAATTTCTACGACATTCCATGAATGTTTTATTTTTTATCCAGTTGTCTGTACATCATACATTCACTGAAAATTGTGCCGCTGCTTATACTGTTTCTATCCTATTATTTTCTCGGCCAAGTATAAGCGGTCCATGCTGAATTACTTCGCGGCCGTGTTCGTCTGAAAAACCGCCTGGTGGAATTACGAAACTATTGAGGAACGGTGGAACTCTAAAGTGAAAAGAACGTGAAGGTTTGTTAAAAAAAAGCGTGCCAACCAAAATCCATATTCAGACAATAGATAGAAAAAGTGTGGCTACACGGAATAAAAAAACACTTGAATTGAATGATTTACTTCTAAATTTATGCTCGACTCAGAAATGAAGCACGAACATTAGATGCAGGCGTATGATTCCTTGAAATCCAGAATTTACTGCGGACTTGCCTCGAATGAAAGCGAAAATTTGTCTGAGTCACTGTGACATCTCTACTGTACTGTTTGGCACGAAAAAAGGAAAAGAATAGGCTGGCGGCGCTGAAAATACATGTTTAAGTATTCAGCAACGTGACACTCAGGGAACGCATCTAAAATAATGCGACTAGATGTCAACTGAATAAACAAAGTTTAGATATACCAGCGATAAACCATATCGTTTTAGGAAAGTTTACTATAGTAAACTTTGCTTTCATTCTACCGCCGTTGCCACCGCAACTGACTAGATCTGTGTTTACCATAGTAAAATGAGAAAAGCCGGTCACATTAGAAAACGTGTTTACAGTAGTAAACTCGACTTTACTATAGTAAAAAAAGCCCAAGTGTGACCACAGCCACTGTTATCGTATGAACAATGAGACAATTGATTACACTCTGATATGTAACGACAAACAGCAAATCGTGTTGAATAAGAACTGTTATCATTGGAGTGTCCGTAATAAAGAGGTTCAGTTTGTATGAATTTTCTCTCTGGCGCCGAGATTTCGTGTCCGTTGTCCGTATTATAGAGGTTATTTTTACAAAGAATGTACGGGCATTTTCCCGGGACCAAGTGAACTGTCCGTATTAGAGAGGTGTCCGTAAGGAGAGGTTCGACTGTACACGAATGGAACCGTCATCACTAGAAATTTTTAGAAAATTCTAGGCAATTTTTGCTTCTCCAAACAGATAGTTTACAGAAAACGTTCGTTGGGTGCCCCTAATCTTAGATGCTAGTTGCAATGAACATGATGTATGCTTTGTGTGACACGATTTTTCAGTTCTGTACCGATCAGTCGTTTAAAACTTGGTTTTGATCGAGCTCTACATTGTTCCAGGTGACACCAACATTAGACGTGACACAAGTCGACCTCACGAGTTACACAGCAGTTTTAAATTAAGCAACCAAAATATTTCGCAATCTAACACCAAGAGCATCACTAAAAAACATAGCAAGTCTAATGTTCTGTGAAAAGATGCATTTACTGCCCTCACGAAATTTAGATTTCATCCGTCCCGTCATTCTAACCTCCTACCACAATTCTTAAAAAAGGCTGTGCTTGCATGGTAATTTTCCTTCCACTAGCAAAAAACATTGCTGTAACCGTTAAGGTAGCTGGTCGTCGACAAACCCCTATGATAATATGTTCGTTAACCCAGGGGTCTTCAATTTAATTCGGGAAGGCGTTAAGGTCATTAACATTTATATACCATTTTGTAAGGCATCCCTTACGTGGTACCCTTTTCGCATGTTTACCTAGTCCCTTTTAACTATTGTGTAAACGCACGTTCTTTCAGTTATAAATAAATCACAAAACCAGAACATTTTCTCGACTTCTTTTCAACCATAAAATGTATCTGTTAGCCATTTCAAGCTATTTTAGAGGCTGAAATGACAGATTTCCCTACCTTATGACATATTTCAACTAATGTAATCTCCTCCCTTTTATATACCTGTAGCCTGAAAAAAAGGTACCCCTTTCAGGCGGACCTCCCGGCGGACTTTCCCCGTTTAGGCAATTCAGATAAGAAATAACCCCGCGGGTTCGATGTAGGGTGATCCCCAGATACTCACCATTGAAGAAGAGCGACTCATTTACTGCGTTACCGACAAAGTTTCGATTTAAGAAGTTAAAGCGAAATTGAAAAGCCTGACCTCTGACACGCTGAGTTAATACAATAGCATAATACCGCTCATGAAAACCATTGGCAGTCTCGACAACCTTTTTAATCAAGATCTCTCTGATAAATTATAAATTAATTAGTAATTTATTCAAGGCGTCGAGAACGTGAGGCTTCTGAGCCGCCGGATCTTGCGGTAATTTCTTAAAATTAAAACGAAAATTACGAGTTTTAGAATCGAAATCAAGAATCGGAGTGTTGGGGGACAAATCGTATGATCTGCTTTGCAGACCCGAAGAAAAAACATTTATAAGTCATTCTTAAAACCAATATTTCGAAATTGTTATCGCAAACATGACCCCCTGCTTTCGTATAGTCGACATGTCTGGAATTAGGCTAATGCAGCTGCAGAGGGGTACCTCACGACTTTTTTCTGTAAAATAACTGTTCGAAGGAGTCAAATATTGCGTAGAAATTTTTAAAGCTTGAGAAAAGCTAAAACTTTCATGATCACCGTTCCATTCAATTTACCCTCGGTGCCAGAGGTTTTTTGCTCTCGGAGCGGCGAAGCCAGCCAGCTGAGGAGCGAAGCGGCGTGCTATAAAACACTTCACGGCCTGAGCCAGACGTATCTCGCCGACCAGCTCTTAAGCTTCTTCACGCTTCTTGACGCTGGTAAGCGAGAAGACCTCTGGTATCTACAAATAGGTTTAGTTCAATTAGTCAACATTTGGCACATTTACATTTAAACGAGCTATCGCTCATTTGCGATATGTGGTTAAATAAAATTACTTACTTACTTACTTACTTACTTACTTACTTACAACGGGCGCCCTTACAACGTTAGTTTATTTACCGGCAACAACAGTATCCTTTCATTAAGTAGCCCAGCAAATAGGGGATAGGCGTGAATGCAAATTTTTTACCTTTCTGACTGCCATCCTCGTCCCTTGGACTCCAACTGTCATTTCGAACCTCTAATGGATCCGACAAGACAACAGCAAAGTCATCGCCAGGTGTTCTCGCGATCTTTCTGTACTGAGCGGAAGCGATACCTTCGCCTTCGACCACAAGCACGTTGTTCTCAAAGCTTGAATAACTCACGCCATCGCAGTTTAGCCTGCCAAGATCTTTCATAAACTGTGCTACACTGGAGTGAAATGGATCTAAGTTGGGAAGCCTGCATGCAGCACTATTATTTCCAAAATTTTTCTTAAATAACTTATGTCTGCGGGCTCTCGCGGTTAACATCGTGCGAAGATTCGAGTGTGGCCGTGTTGCCTCATACAAAAGGACGAGCGATAACATGGTAATAACGCCTATAAGAACAACCACTAAATTCTGAAAACGAACATATTTTCTAGGAAGCAGTAGGTTGCACCAGCGCCGTTGAATTAGGCGTTTAGACATCTTGAGTCACATGTATAATAGAGGTCTACAGATGTAAATCCACTGGTCTTTGAAACCTGGGCGAGCAATAAATTGCGAAACGTCACGTACAGACGTGTGACGGGCGTGTGACACCATTTCTAGACTTCCTCAACTGTCAACCTCGTTCCCAGGCTCACGAGGTTGGCTCAGATATGTTCGATTCAGTTGTATTTGATAAATGTTGCTTCACAGTTAAGTAAAGCCGTTTTTTGATATATTTGATCCAGTTGTATTTGATAACTGTTGCCTCACAGTTATTGGGGCCTCACTTATTAGGTATGTAATTTGAACTTTTTTTTTTAGTACTGTTTCCTCACAGTAATAGGGACCTCTTTAGTTTTAGTCTTATTTGAATATTTGCCACATTCTGGATATCGCCAGCCCCCTGGAGATTTACGCCAAAATCACTAATTTCGCCAAGTTCGAAGCAAATAATCGAAAATAAGCAAATGGGATGAGGAAGGAATGCAAGCGAGGATTCGAGTTATCCAAGAGTCGACTGTAGGGTTTAAAACCCGCTTGCAGACCCACCAATCTGTACTACTACAGTTTTTTGCCATTTTTCGACATCTCACACCAAGTTCAAGATTATGATCTAAAAATGATAATAATATTAGTAGTGATTATATTATAATACTTAATAATAATTTTTATGGGAAGCTCTCGTTTTTTTGCCTTTGGAATCAAATACCTGAAAGCGAGTGATAAGCAAAATCGATTAGGGACGGACACAATACCTTCAATGGTCCGTCCCTAAACATAGCACGTTTTGAAAGAGCAAAAACATTGAGTACGCACAACTTAGTCAATAATACTACTTATGGGCTTGGAATGTGTGACATTGCAGCTCTACTAGGAAATTTTGCAGAGTATGAAAGATTTCCTGTGCCACGTGTATATTTACATTCATCCACAATAAAGCTGAAACGTCCGGCGTGGGTGTATAAGCCCATGTCAATACGAAGCTGTTTTTTTTTTTTGAATTCGCATATTTTCAAACTAATCGTCCTTTCGTCTACACGAAACGGCAGTGAATCTGCTGATTCATCCGCGGCCTATTTGTGTGAAAAAACATAGAAAATATTCGGATTCGCGCCTGAAACGGGGCCTAAATTGAATTTGCATAATGCGCGAATGCGTGTCTTCCAGCTTTAAAATATTTACATAATTGACATTCATTACTGACAAGCTAAGAGCGTTTTGGCTTATATGTTTTGCTTTCACACTGTAGACCACGTGATGCCCAGAGAACTGTTTCTTTCAGTTGTAACTCTTTTTACGTCCATATGGGTGCATAACCAATAAAAAGACAAAAGGCACAAATTCCCTACAGAACATCAAATCCTATCAGAGGCTATACTTACACGCTATACCGCTTTTGCGCTGGCACGAAAACCATACGGGATTGGGCTTCTGTTTACACATCTAAGAACGGAGATTTCGGCGCGATTTCTGTAAGGTGCGCCGCGCCGGTCTTAAACGGATAGGTTTCGGCCACTGACCGTTTTCACACTTATCCGTATGAGACGGATAATCCATCTTCAAATGCCGTCAAAATTGACGGAAAAAAACAGATGGATAAAGTCAGGCGGATTGTCTCCAAAATAAAGACTGTTCCATTTTCAGATTGAGACGTATTATCTGTCTTACGCGAATTATCCAACGGATAATCCGTCTCTAGTGTGAATACGGCCACTCACGATTGTCAGAGTCGGTGGTTTTTCTCCCACGTGGTTCATTAGGAACATATAGAATTCGATAGAATATGCCGAATAAAACGAAACTTGGCAGAAACGTAGGCCCCTTCCACACCAATGCGTTTTCGTTTGAAAACGAATACATTTCGATGAGTTTAGACCTTCCGACCTCACTAATACGCGGAGGCCCTGTCCACACCAATGCGTTTTCGTTTGAAAACGAATACATTTCGATGAGTTTAGACCTTCCGACCTCACTAATACGCGGAGGCCCTGTCCACACTAATGCGTTTTCAAAAGTATGCTTTGCCGTTGTCATCGAAAACGCATCGATCGATTCGCGTCTACACTACCGTTTTGATGTGTTTTCGACTGTCCACACAAAAAGGTTAGAAAACGATAGAATGGCACGTTGGGACGTTAGTTGAACTCTATGCGCATTCTACAAAACACGCGCCCGCGATATTTTACAACCAACGTGGCACATATGACGTCATCGATTTCATTTTGATGCGTTTTCGACCGTCCACACCAATATGATGTCTTTGCGTTTTCGTGTTGATCCACTTTCAACATTGTTTTGAAGTCAATGCGTTTTGGATGAAAACGCTCAGCGTATTAGTGTGGACGGGATGCCTATAAAACGTAACGAAATGTATGCGTTTTCAAATGAAATTTCCTATTCGGTCGGACGGGGCCTGATGGTGGATCAAAACGAAAACGCATACATATCGTTCTAGCGTGGACGGTCGAAGACGGTCCAAATCGCATTAAAATTAAAACGATGACCGAAAATATCACAGGCTCGTGTGTTTGTAGCCTCGCATAGAGTTCAGCTTACGTAACGAAGTGCAATTCTATCATTTTCGAACCTTTTAGTGTGGACAGTCGAACCGCACCAAAACGGTAGTGTGGACGCGAATTGATCGATGCGTTTATGATGACAATGAAAACGCATAAGTGTGGACAGGGCTATAGTTTGGGAAAATCCACTTGCAATGATCTCAGCTCTCTTTTTTTTCTTTTTGTTGAGTTTGCCCCTGAGATAGGGGATGAAACAGGACTTAAGTCCCAATTGATATCAACCCCTTCATTACCCACTCAGCCCATGAAATGTTGTACCACACCACCGGGGCCTACGCCCCCTACTCTTTACGAACAGCAGTGTGGGTTCTTTTCCGTTCCACAAGAATCAGAACAGTGAAGGAGCTGGGAGACTACGATTTTTTGTCCTTATCCGAAAAGGCTAGAATGTCTAACCATTTGTAGATGTCAAACAAAGGCAGCACATTCTCCTCATTTATATTAAGACTCTGAGTGCTGGTCTACAAATTTACTCTAGTTTGTTATCCACTTAATTTTTTTCATCGTATTCATCTTTTAAGACCCCCTTAAGTTTGACTTTATGAGGTAATAGAACAATTAAATTCTTCAGATTCCTTCTTTCACTATCACTATCTTAATCACTTGTAACTTTGTCCTTTTTAATGTATTTTACCAGGGTGTTTTGATCACAGAACACTTCTGTGTAATTTTTGAAAACATTACTCAATTTTCAATTTTGGCGCCCAATTTGAAAGCCATTTATGACGTCACAATGTCAATCACAACTGTGAAACAAAAACTATTAATGCCAAATTTCATAACATTTGGATAATTGTCCTTGTCTCTATGAACTAAGAGGGAGAACAAACATCCATTTCGAACCATCGAGCTTTGTCGCTGTAGAGGAAATATATGTGAATGAGCAAGGACTGGAACCCACAAAGACGGAAGTAAATATTCAGGAGATTTGTAATCCTGGGCTTTGGAATCCACATTCCAAGACAAGTCAGCTGATGCACGTGCGCATAAGATACCATTTCTTAGCTGGTTCGCATATCACGAGATACGCACGTGAAACAGAAATTGAGAAGCCCATCCTTTGGATTATGTAAGCAAACCTTTTGGACTCAAAATAGTGCTTATAGACCCTAAAGTCATACTACTCAGAAAACTCCAAAACAGGTGTTTAGTAAAAGATCGAAGGTCTAATGAAACACTGGGCAAGATTAAAGCGGATTTCTAGATGTATCCTACGCGCACATTTTACGATTCATCAGCTGATAAAAATACTAAAAATAACGTCGTGCCTTTTGTGCAGCTTGTACCTTGGCCGGTTCCAGAAGGGGTCCTGACTCCTGAAAGTACTATCCTTTATGTACAAGAAATCATAAACTATAATGAATCTGCGACTCTGAGAATGTGGAGAATTGAAACAAATAAGTACGTCTACAGGTGGAGAGCAGTAGATAGTTATAACTTTTGTTACCTGTTTTGTTGTGTCTTTCTTCGGGTTCGATAGAGCGTTGAGATATCTCTTGACGGGAAAACGTGTTGTAAAACCCCTTCTGCAACTCGTGCGTAGGAACCGTTTTTCAGCTTATGATATTTCGGCAGCAAATGCAGTACCTGTAAATATATGTTTATGTCATATTTTCCAAACGCGAGTGTTAGTTGGCGAGCAAGCTCTGGAGCGCGTTCTGGGGGGGTGGGGGGGGCACTCTCTCTTGTCTTAAACAGGGTATACAATTTTACTATTAAGCGTCTTGAACTGGGTGCCTTTTTGGAAAAAAGCTTGCGATAAACGGTCTACCCTTGCAATACCAGTTAATTTTTTCCAAAATATCCATTACCGTGATGAGAGTGTAAAGAACTCCTCAATTCGGTATGCAAAACAAAACAAATCATGGTCAAAATTGTCTCCTGTCTTAAACAGGGTAGCGAAATGAACGATTTTTGTCTTAAACAGCAGGGTCGGGGTCTGAAGGCTTCGGGGCGGCAAAGCTCTACACAGACTTGAGTTTCTCCCCCTCCCCCTTCGAGCCCTTTATCTGGTCTGATTGGTGGTTAACTGCTTCTTTTTAAAAGTTTGTTTTACTTAACATAGGAAACGACGTTACAAGTCTTACAATAGCTCTAAACATATTCTGCTAGTGCGTGCGTTACCATAACTACCCACGGATAACAAGTCTACACAAGTAAAAAACTGTAAATAATTAATTTCTATAGCACTATTTCTACCAATGGCGCTTAACAAAATTACTAAAATTTAGAAACAAATCTGAGGTAAGAAAGATCTAAAACGAACGACTAAATAAAAAGGTCTTTTTGAAAATTTAAAATCAATTTAAAAATCGAAATTTATTATTGGTCCGTTTCGATCCTATATCTGATGGGTAGTAAGCCTCAAAACGCCTATCTTTACAAAACTGCACTTATATATTAGTCGTAGACTTCTGCGTTTTCAAACCTGTGGTAGCGATACCGTTCGATACTGCTCACAAGACCATTCTGCACGAGTAGACTGCTCAGAAAAATATTACTCCTTATTGTCCCTCAACATCGCACATTTACAATGTTAACAGGTTTTCTAACGTGATACTCCAAACTAGTCGAGTGGCATGGTCACAGCTTAAAAATACAACTTGTCATCTATAATAATCGACAGCAACAAAGACACTTCCCTCATTCTATGACTAATTTGACATGACAACAAATTAAAGTAAATATCGAAAGTTATTACAGTAGCACGTATATTTTGCCTTATATGCAACAGCTACGGTTGTTTATACAGTGGTTTTGAAAGTATTCGACCTGTTTAGTTCTCACTTTCAAGGTGTTTCGATACAGTTTTTCGCAGACCATACTGATGTTTTTCAATCGCCTTAAAAGAGATGTTATCCTTGTCCGATCGCCACAAAATTTTCACCAGTGATTGACTATGAGTTGAAGTTTGTCAAAATGCAGTTTTTCGAAGAAAACGGTATCACTATGACAACAATAAACAAAAACCTTTAAAATCGACTAAATCCGAATATCGCGCGATCGACTTTTAACGCAATTGCAAAAGATCGGTATGGTCTCCGGGAAACTGTATCGAAACATCTTAAAAGGCTTTAATAATTGATCTCACACACAATTTGTCATGCTCAGTTAGAACCTCAAATCGCAAGATCATTAACATAGACTTTTCTCTTTTCTATTAAGCTATACAAAGGCAACAAAACTAGCGATAAAACTAGCTCTTTTTACTTTGAATGCTTTATTGAGTTTTGCGTTGTTTTACGGATTTTATCACGGGCTTTTCTTTTTTTCCTTTTTATCATCTCACAGTTCTTCCGTCGCCATTGTTTGCCGTTGAGGTCGAGAGAAAAATTTTAAAAAAAATTAAACATACAAACAGCAAATTGTCACTCATCTTGATTTCTTTCTTTAGCGAGTCACCACAGGCCTCCCAAGACTCATGCAAGTACACGATGGCCATTTTTCAGCACGAATTCGGCCAATTGCCAAATTTAGCTTCATGATTATGAGACCAGTCACAACTTGCAATGTTTATCCAGTGCTTGTAAATTTAGTAGTCATAATAATTAGTTGTTTAAGTGTTGTAAATTAGTTGTTAAGTATTGTATTTTATTTATGTTGTAAGTTTCCACTGTCGTTTTCTTTCTTTTTATTTAATAGTATTGTAATTATTTTAGTTAAAGCTTTCTTTTATTCATGCAAATTCTTCACATTTTTTAGGTGACCTTAGGCCATTTAAGTCCCCGGCTTTGGTTGTTGTTATGTAATTTTTTACGAGTGTGTGATATGTAATAAAGTTAAAGTTTGAAGAGTTATCAACAAATGGCTACTTGCAGCTGTTCTTTTAACTGGCTAAGCAGGAACTATGATAATAATAATTAATAAATGGGCACTGGAGTAGGACAGGTTGGACCTCAGCCCACTACGGGGACATGGACGACGACCCCGCCCACCAGAGTTTAGGGTGACACCTTTGGCAAGTGTTTGTAATCCCGAAGCCAACCCCGTCAGGGTTATGACAAAGTATCATGACATGACAAGTAGAGATAATAGATTTTCATGCCGCTACGGTCGTCGTGCGGATAAACAAGGGCCGCGATCCTCGGTTTGGAACCATGCTGAGATCGAAAAGTATGCTACAAGAACAAACTCTCCCCAGTAAGTACTAGAGGAACTTCGCGCTGAAGATACTCGTCACAGTGGCCCTCGACGAGCTACCACCATTTTGTCAACAAGAACCAGAAGGGAAAAATACAAATGAGCTCGGGAAGAGTATATTGGAGTCATGAAAGCTTACTACACCGCAAAGCTATTACCAGGTAAAGACAAAACCACCCAAACTTACAAAATTTGCCGCAATAAGAACTGCGGTATAGAAAGACAGCAAAAGCTCACTTCAACAGAGCTCCAGGAAATCCTAGACAGGATTAGGTGGACAAACAACGTCCACGCCTCGCTAGATCCCCTATTAGAACCAATACAACCTCCGCCAAACCTGGAAAATATACCGAAAGACGAAACTAGTAGGAAAATGGGGCAGCCCCCCAGAGGACGAGAAAATTGCAGAAGTGGTAAACCTTGTCAGAAAAAAAGAGCTATTATTAAAGAGATGGCCATGAAGAAAAGAAAACCAGTCCCAAAAGTAAAAATCAACAGCAATGTGGGAGAAATCCGGCTGAAACGGGCAAACTTAGCTCTAAACAACATCAAACAAGGGCAAGATCTCAACATCACCGAGATCAACAACCTACTATATGCAACAGCATGGGCCATCACTGACATGGTAGACTGAGCGCCTAAAAAGCGCACAGGTCTCCAACCCAAGAAAACATGGAGGGACAAAATTGAACTGGAAATAACAAAGCTCACTACAAACATCTCCATCATCGCAGAACTACAAAAGGAATCTAATGTAAGATATACCGAAGCTGACAAAATCAGGAAGAAATTTGGCATTAAAAAACCAAGACGACATGGCCAAAACAAAAGATTCTCTTAAAAAACAACTCCAGGCCAAAGCACAGAGACTCAGGCGATACACCAAAAGGGCGAACGTCTTTCGGCAAGACAACACCTATAGGAACAATGCCAAAAAGCTCTTCAGAGAGCTGGGAAAGAAAGCCATCAATATCCAGAACCCTCCCTCACTCGAAGAGGTCGAGGCATTCTGAGCAAAATATGGGACAACAACAAGACCCATAACGATGGTCTCCAGTGGATCCAAGACCAAGCCAAGAAAAACCAGCGTGCACCAACTCATGATTGGTCAGACGTCGCCACAGAGGAGACCATCAAAACCAACCACAAGACCAGCAACTGGGAAGCCGCAGAATGTGACGGCGTGGCTAACTTCTGGCTCAAACAACTGACCAGCTTACACCCCGAATTAGCCAACGCCTACAACAAAATCCTCAAGAACCCAGAAAAGTCCCCAGAGTTGCAGACTGAGGGTGTGACTTTCCTGATACAAAAGTCCGAAGACACAGAGAACCCTAAAAACTAAAGGTCTATCACATGACTGCCAACTATTTACAAGGTCCTGACCTCCATCATTACAGAAAGGGCCTACATCTTTGTCGAAAGCAAAAACCTGCTCCCCAAAGTGCAAAAAGGATGCCGCCGGAGGAGCTATGGCTGCAAAGACCAGCTCCTCATCAACAAAGCCATCCTTGAGGAGGTGAGATCCATGCGCAGTAACCTCTCCACGACGTGGATCGACTACAAGAAGGCCACACACATCTGGATCGTCGAGAGCCTCGAACTCTACAATATCTGCCCCACTGTGACCCTATTCATGTGGGAAAAGATGAAGCCTTGGAGGACAATCTTCCACCTAAACCACAATAAGGGCATGATGACATCCAGACCTATCGAAATCTAAAGTGGCATCTATCAGGGAGACTCTCTATCACCTCCAGTCTTTTGTCTTGCTCTTGCTCCTCTAAGCTCCCTTCTGAATAAGAGGGGCTACGGGTACAACACCCCGCGTGGAAAGATTGGCCACGTCTTCTACATTGATGACCTGAAGACCTACGCGAAAGATGACGAGAAGCAAACGGGCTTGCTGAGAACCATCGAATCTTTCAGTGGCGATATAGGCATGTAGTTCGGATTGGACAATTGCGCCAAGGCCACCTTCAAGAGAGGACGACTAGCTGACTCCAGTAACATCGAGCTCGACGTCAACACTGTCATCCAGGACCTAGAACAGGAAGGTACCTAAAAGTACCTCGGATTCAGCGAGGGAGACGGAATCCAGCACTCTCAGATGAAAGACAAGATCAGGATTTATAGAGTACTACCGCAGGATCCGGATGGTACTCAAGTATGAGCTGGAAGCAATCAACACCTTGGCAGTGCTATTTGGTAACTTACAGTTTTAACATCATAAACTGGACGTTACAAGAGCTGACGAAACTTGATACAAAGACTAGGAAGTTCCTGACTATGTACAAGATGCACAACCCCAAATCTGACGTGGACAGACTGTACCTGCCCCGAACCGAAGGATGTAGAGGGCTCATACACATGGAGCTTTCCTACAAAACGAGCACTATCGGTCTTGAAAAATAAATATCCAGAAGACGCAGGACACCCTCCTCCACTTTGTCAAAAACCATAACGACAGGAAATCCTTGTACTCCATCGGCAGACAGTCAGTGAAGTTCGGTCGGGAACTGGGAGTGCCTGCAATACCACCCGCAGAGGATGAGGCCAACACGCGCCTAAGTTTAACCTCATAAGTTGTCTTGATAAGGTTTCTTAGTTATGGTCACTCATAGTATTTATAGTATTTTAGATTATATAGTTTTAACAGTTTTTAAGGGCATTATGTAAATAATGAATGATTTTTGAATAACATCATGTAAGTTGTTAGTTTTTAGGTAGTATGACGGATGTAGAAACACCATGTAGAAATACTGTCAATAAATCGTTGTTATTGTTATTATTGTTATTGTTGTTATTATTATTATTATTATTATTATTATTATTATTATTATGAGGCAAACATCAAGACTGTCACCGAGAAGGACAGCGTCACCATTCTTTGGGACTTACCCATCCACACTGACAGCACCATCGCAGGTAATAGGTCGGACATTGTGCTAAAGAACGAGAAGGACACAACCTGCCTTCTCATTGACATGACTATACCCGTCGACACCAACACCTCAGTCAAAACCACGGAAAAGCTTAAGAAATACTAAGAATTGGAAATCGAGGTTTTAGCAAATGTGGAGGCTCAAAACAACAACAGTCCCTGTGGTTATGGGTCCCCTTGGCACCATCAAGAAGGACATGGAAAACTACACCGACAAATTCCCTGGTAACATCAACATACATGAACTCGAGAAAATAACTCTCCTTTCTACAGCCCACCTTCTCAGGCGGGTCCTCTCCATCAAGTAGAAACCCTCTTTGCCTCCCAAAGTCCACGGTTTGGACTGGGATGTTGAGAGAGAAAATCACTCGCAATTTCACTAGTAGATCTTATATCTAATAATGATAAGAATATTTAACGACTTAAACAGGATTATAAAATCACGTGGACATCAAAGTATACTCTACCCTTCGAGCAGAGGTTTCTCTCTTGCATGGCTTTTAACGTTTACAAAGTCGTTCCCGTGGATTGTCTGTCGCGCTGGTTTGTTGGTTTGGTTTGGCGTAGTCTGGTACGTATAAAACAAACCAACTACGAGACAGACAAGCCACGCGAACGACTTCGTTAACGCTAAAAGCCATGCAAGAGAGAAACTTCTGCTCGCAGGGTAAGTATAACAAGGGGATTAGATGAAAAAAATTAAAGATACATTAAAGGGAAAAAAGCCCTGTGCTTGTGCCGTATCTCTGAGTCATCGCGTACGTGACAAACAGTAAGGTTCAAGTTCCTCTAAGGTGGCATCCGTTTTCATTAGCAGTTGTAAAATACAGAAAGTTTTGTGTACTTAAGGTTTTCGTTTCCCTTCTAAGACAGTCTTTCAATTTGATGGGATCCTGCTGCTGGCATGGTCATAATTTGCACCCCATTAGAGGTAAGGAAATTACCTCGAGGCTCAAAAAAGATCAAGGCTAGAATCTAAATAATGAAAATAGAGCTGAGACGTCGATGATGTAGGCAAAGCTTACTGAGCCAGCAGCTGCACAAAACAAATATTTTATAATTGCGTGTTTGCGTGCGTAACGTACTGAGAATCGACCCAAGAAAGGACAAACTACTGTCATCATACTAATTCGGAAATGAAGATGTAAACAGATAGGCGAAGATAATTGAAAGAGTTAAAAGTGTTAAGTTTGCTTAAGCACACTAATCAAGCAAGGTCTTTCGGTGGCTTTTTTTTTAACTTAGAGAATAGGTACCTATGGAAAACGCGGGAAATTCTCGGCAAAAACTTGTTGCCTTTAAGATAAGCGAACTTGGTGCAAAAAGTAGGATGGCAGCCCTATGCCGGCCGAGGGTCCCACTTCCAACCGTTAGCTAAATGACCAAATGAAAGTTAAGTAAAAGATACCTTCAGGGGTTATTAAACACTTTCTTGGGTGTTTTCAGTATTCTTCTGATCCGGTGTAATGCAAATTATTTTGCCAATGGCTAGTGGTGTTATAAGTGCACCAACGTATGGAGAAATACTAAGAGTCCACTGACCAATCCTGAATATCGGGCGTACTAATCTATAACGCTTTAAAGCTAGGTGTAAAACAACCTTTTATTGCCTGATTCTTGAAATGTTTTGCCTGTTGCATTTAAAAAGTCTCTTAGAGTAATAAACATCATTTGGAAGCTGTTTAGCTGGCCATAATCTTAAATTAAATTGTTTTCCTTTAAAATTATTAAACTTGCTGATACAAGGTCTTCGAAGGTCTTCGAAAACGTTCTGTTTTACCTCTCAGTATTATAACAAAGACTTGACACATTCCCGTAGCTCTTTTTCTCTTTTCTTTCTTGCAGAATATTTGTCACCAGATCCGCGTTACCTACGTACCGTTCACAAAACAAGATACTCTTAAACGCGCGGCGAAAGCTTCGGTTCATCAAACCGTAAATTATCGAGTTCATGGCACTGTTGAGCATGGCCAACCAAGTTGTGACTATAAAAAAGGAGTCATCCCATTGACAATTTGAATCTAGAAGGCAAAAAACGCTGACTGAGTGAGGGATCCAACATACGCAGAACGTCCCCACCACTATCGCTATCATGATAGTCGCCTTGTGTTCCTTCTTAGTCCATTTTGCTCCCCCTCTGTCTTGTTCCGCTTTATCGCGCTTTTGCGATTGGCGATCAAGAACTATCTCCCCAACTTTTATGGCGGCGACTCGCTGATGTTGTTTAATCGCTGTGTGTAAAATAACACAATACAAAACAGCTGTGACAAGAAAAGGCACATAAAAAAATAGAATCGCGAATAAAAGAGTGTACGCCATATTATAACCCCAGTCAACGGTGCATATTGACTCAAACTTTAAGAAGGTAAATCTGGAAAAGACAAAGGTGGAACTCGCGCAGAAAATCGCCTCGGACCAGATGAAACCAATGACAAATTTTACGCGTTTCGATGTGACCATCCTTTCATATTCCAGAGGATAAACTATCGCGAGAAACCGCTCCAGACTTACAAATGCAAGGGTCATTATAGAAGCTTCACAGAAAATGGAGTTCAATACGGCGGTAACCTGGCACATGACATTCCCAAAGATCCAGTCGTATTTAATGGACGTGGCCAGGGTAAACGGCATTGCGGAAACTGCAAGAAATAAATCGGCGATCGCCAGATTCAGAACAAAGGCGTTCGTTTTAGTCTGAAGGCAGGTGAAACGGTACAGCGATGTTAAAATAAGAGTATTCCCCATTATGGCCGCCAAGATAATAAAGCCCAAAATCGTTCCTTGGAAGCAAATCGTCGCCAATGAACGTGGATCACTTTCTGTTGTCATTGTTTATGATGTTCTTTTGTTGCTCGGATCAAGAAGTTTCATTTAGCGATTCAATCTTCACAAAATGTCGTCTTTCTATCGACAAACACTAGAACTTCACAATGTCTATGTAAAACCTTTGATAAGTAAAGTTATATTGAGAGCAGTGCGAAGGAAAATAACCAATTCTGACGTCCCTGACGATCTCACCGGCCAGGTGAGTGTCAAACGTCAGTATGTTAACAACGAATAGGTATTAATATTTAATTTTTCTGGAGTGAAAAGTGAAATAAACCCTGTGAATGAAACTGAGACGAAATTGAATAACACCGCGCACTCGATTTTCTGTCGCATGACTCAGATCTCAAAAGCCCGAATTAAAATTGTCAAAGGTAGATGATGAATTGGTTTCACAATTTGTTGCAGCAGATTTCAATAATTTCTTTCGCTTCGATTTACGGCTAAAAATATTATTAAGGATAATTTCCAGTGTCATTAGTTAGAAAGTGCTAAATTCGATTTTGAATAGAGGTTTTATTTGGGATACAGGTAATTGCGCACTGTCCAATTGTTTTCCATGCAAATAAATGTTTTCACTACAAAATTGGTTCGTTTCTTATTATCAGGGCCAGGTGGCATTTTACCATGGTCTGCGTAAAACTTCGATTCCCCTTGTTTACGCTACAGAACAATTCCGAAAACCTATTACAAGTGAAGCAAAAAAAAAACAGTCTTGTTGCAGGGCAGTAGGCAATGCGGCTGTATTCGTAGGCTAGCACACAGTCAACCAAGTTGTCAAAATCCGTGCATTCGGTTAATTTTAATTTCATAGATCGTGTCGCCATAAAATACAAAAATTGGATGGGCTCGGTGGCAGCGGTAATCGGAAGTACCCAGTGACCGCCAAGGAAGTGTCGTGGTTAGGACTATTCATGAGATCGTTTAAAAATTTATCGCTAATCTAGGGCCCCTTAAAATTTGTAGTTTAGAAGTGAAATTCATTTTCTTTGGAGAAAATACATACCTACTGTACAAATATTGTCTCGGAGATCTAAAGCATTGTTTGGTCAGCTCCACAAACGGAAAACCAAGACATGCTTTTTAGCGTAACTAACAAATCCACTTAACGAATCGAAAAGAAACTGGCTGACTGGAAATTCGTTTCAATGCACTGATGAAGGGATTTTTCCCTTTTACAGCATTTGAAGGAGAAATCACTTTATGCCAGCACAAATAACGCTAATGAATAACTAATTATTTAGCGGCAGCTGAGAGCACCAATTTTAGCAATAATTTGCATTTTTTTGTATCGTGTAGTCATTGGTAGATTATGGCAATAGAAAATATCAAGGCCGGAGAATAATCGGTGATCGGCTACATCGATCCCGTGCGATACTACCCGCGTGATCAGTCTGCAGGGGAAGACTGATGTGAAAAATGTTAGCCCTTATTTCCCTTTTACATCACACATGTAGAAAGTTAATAGGTGTTCTTAGGTACATATCTGTTTGCCCCTACGTGATATTTGAAACGAATTGAGTGACATGGCCAAGGCTTTTAGACGCTGTCTACACGAATCTGGACATTCAGTTTAAATACATATTTTTTTATACGAATCGGCCTTCCGTCCTCACGAAACTAGTGAATCCGAACAGTGAAACTGCCTCCTTCTTAAAACCCCACCCGCGACTAAAGTGGATTTCTTTGGATCCGACGGATTTGGCGAATTTCGGGTCCAGGCTTAAACGAAAACTTGCAAATTCAAAATGGCGGACAACAAACTACTGTTTGCTTGGATATTGTACTGTGAAAAGTCCCAGTATATCAGAATATTTGGATTGAAGCGATTGCCAGTCGAAGTTTTCGATTGGCTTTGATATCTTGTAGTCGCTGGCTATTTATAAGTTTTAAAAAAAGAAAGTTCGGCTTCATCGTCGTGTCAGACGAATGTATCGGCCAGTTTGCCTTCTTATTTCTCTTTGACATTTCTGATTGAGACATTGTTAAGATGAGAAATTCGTTCGAGTCGTTTCAGATATATACAAAAAAGCGCTAAAAGTCCAAATTTTGAAAGAAGTTGCACTTAGACAGGTGGTGAGAAAACGGGTTACTTTTTAAGATCACAAGAACGAAAATACATTTAAATTTCCTGGCATGGAAATAAGATATTAAGCAGCATTCTGACGCTACTTAAGAATAATTTGAGTTGTTTATAACGTCTTTACTTAATAATCTATCACGGCTATTGAAAATTTAAGGTTTGAAATATATTTTCGTTTTAGTTGAATTCAAACATACAGAACGTATTACGAAAGTGAGAATTTTTCTGTTTTCTCTGTCGATCGCATTTTTAAATTCCGAAAATTTTAGGTTTCCTTTTTTCTAAGAAAACAGCCTAACCTGCGGGATGAAATGTGAAAAATTAATCTTCAGAAAATCGTAGGGAATTTATTTGATAAGCTTCGAAAATTGTTCAAGAATGGAACGGTCATCAAGAAATTTTAGCAGTCCTAAAGTAATAGAAAACTCTAGCCAATATTTGCTTCTCCGAACAGATATTTTACGGAAAACAGTCGTTGGGTGCCCTTGATAAAACACAGCGATTTCGTGTTGAATTAACTATTAAGTATACGATCTAAGCCTATCCAGATTCGTGTGCACGGGGCCATGAAACTCATCTCGTGGTAACTTTGTCCAGGATTTATCATCTACTTGAAACGACAGCAATGAAGTCAGAGCCTTCCGTTATTCTCTGCTCTGACTAATTTAACATAACAACAAAGTAAATGTCAAAGGTGATTACAATAGCGCAGAGTTTATTTTGCTTTAAATACGATAACTACAGCTGTAGAAAGAATTGCTGAAAGTATTCCAAATGGTTTGGATCTTGCTTACAAAAGGTTTCATTTGATTTCACAGAATGTACACATGCTCAGCTAGAACCTCATATTGCATAACCATTAGCATTAGACTTTTCTCTTTTCTCTTAAGCTTTACAGAGGTAACAAAATTAGCATTAGCAATAAAACTATAGCTCTCTTTGCTTTTGAATGCTTTATTAATTTAGCTTAATTTTTGCTTTGATTTATGATTTATATTAACTAAGGCTTATTATTTTTAAATACCATTCGCGTAGCAAAATAATTAAGATTCGGTATTGCGCGGCTCCATGAATTACATGTACACTCTTTTGTGAACTACAACAAAGTTAATCCTTATAGGAAATTCGAAGCTGAGATTTTGCAAAAGGTTCTCAAGTTATATTAGTATAGGAAATTGCATGATTTGTATTGATATTTGGCATAAATACCAGGAGTAATATTTCGAAATTTTTATACGTAATTTCACGAGCCGTTAGGCGAGTGAAATTTGAGACAATTTTGAAATATCACGAGTGGTATTTATGCCAAATATCACATACATATCATGCTATTATTTGTTTATACTACTACTCGCAAAAGGTTTGTAATTTTCACATGTAGGTATTTCAAATTAAGCTAAAATACCACTGCCCTAAGCCAATCAGATTGCAGAAATTTTTCATGCAGTAGTATAACGGGGCGTATGCAATTAGGACAACGTCAACGTCAACGAAAACATTAGAACTTAGCACAGTCTTTGCGGTCACGACTACGGCTTGAAATCCCCTAATTCGAGTTTTTCTTGAGTACGTGAGCAGACGAAGATAAAACTTCAGAAAAATATCCAAACCTTTGACAAACTTAGCGACTTGGAATACAATAGTGATAACCTTTTGAAGAATGGGAATGCCTAAATTCACTTTTTAAAACGTTTTCGTTGTCGTAATGGTACAGCATTTGCACCTGAAGGGAAGAAGGTGTATCTGGATAAAGGGTGGAATGAGGAGTTAGGGTACAAAAGATGGTCTAAGTGTACCTTTAACCCATAACATTTTGTAAAAACGCTCTCAGAAAGTAACACTGTCTCTCTTTTTATATCAAGTAGCGTTTTGTTAATGTTCAGCTTCTTTCTGAAAACAGCAAATGCACCCTTAGTTATTTTCTAATCAGAAGCTGTAATTTAGAGTGTAAAAGACCTCAATAGAAAACGATAGCGAGCGGCCAAAAGATTTTCATAGAGGTCTGAGAAGGAACTCTCAGAGAAGTGAGTCATTTATCGACATTTCACTTGTCAGCCTTATCTGTCTCCTCGTTGTGCACTGCGTATAGAAGGACTGGGGAATAGTCGTAAATGTTGAGAAATGGAGAGTGGGTTCTTGTCAGCTATAAACTGCTGGTGTTTAAAAAGATTTCGACGAAAAGCTTATTATGAATGTATCTGCTATTGGCATCGCTCAGGTGGACGTGTGTCCTGTTACGCCATATTTACTATGCCTACGCAGACGTTCTTAACACTCCGTCACGCGTGCAGAAGCCCAAAGAACGCCTACGTAGGAGGCTAGTGGACATCTATATTACATGACAAACATGCGGCGCTCTTTTAGAGAGGGATGCATAGGGCGTGAATTGCGTAGTTCGGCTACCAGGCACCGAGAATAAGTGGCTATATTAGAAATCTTAAAAGCGAGACCATAGATAGCTTAAGATATCACGGAAAAGGTAAAGGGATAGGATATGATGAGTTAAAACATGGTAAGGGATTAGATAAGATAAGATAAGATAAGATATGGATAAATTAGAAGAATTTAAGATATGTTAGGATAAAACAAGAAAGGATTTTATGTGATTTATATGGTATAATGAAAAGATATCATCAGCTTTGTTTAAAAAAGAGATAAGATACAGTAATCTCTCGGAGAACTTAGGAGATTATTATTATTTTTCCAGTCATTTTCTTGAGGGGGGTGTATTGGAGGGATTGTGGTATCTTATAAGGTTGGATAAGACGGCAAAACTGTGATCCGGGGATATGATAAGAGTGAAAAAAGTATGTTATGATTAATAAATAAGTGGAAGTAGAATACGATAATAAAGGAAGAGACAAAGATACGGCGTTATGAAGAACAATGATAACGGTAAGATAGAAGAGATAAGAAAGAGGGATAATATAGGATAAGGTAAGAATAAGATTATTACATAAGATGTGAGCTAGTATAGGATGAATTATGAATGATAATAAAATGAGATAAATACAGTATATGCATATATATATTTATTGCAACTTAAGTGGCTTTTCATGCCACTTATAATTCACGAATATAAAATGACATGTTACTTGAGATTCTCAAAGGTTAACCCATTCCACAGGAACAGAAGGATACTGACGAAAATGACGAACCACGAGAGCCGTTGTTGAGCTACACCTTTTTTTTGGGGGGGGGGAGGGGGCGAAGGGGGGAAGGTTGACTGTCACGTATACCCTAAGTGTGTTACACGGAACTGAGGGAGTTTCAAGTGCTCAATTCTTAAATAGGGTTTTTTGTATTGTTTTTTTTTTCCAAAAGTTATATAAGGGATAAGGGTTCCTTCAAATTCTGTCGCAGGATCTAAACTCTCTGTAAAGACTTAACTACCGTCAGGCTAGGGAATTCTGAAAATACGACAGTTTGGGAAGGCGTTTCGGATCAATTTAGGTTTCTCGAAAAACTGCTAACCTACCCCTCTCCTAAGTTAACATTAACACTTACTTCTCACTTAGGGCAAAATTATGGCTTAGGGGAGGGGTAGGTGGCCAGTTTTCCCCAAACCTTAATTGGTCCGGCGTTTTAAGGGATGTACGTCAACCGGAAGTAAACTATTTACATTCATGTGCAGTGGTGTCGCCCAAATTTGGTTGCAGCAACGCATGTTAAAAGGGAAAAGGCCTCACTTCCGGTTGTCATGCCTCGCTTTATACGCCTCAATATCGCATTTGTAGAACTGTAAATAATAGTCAGTCATCGGACGATGTCCGATCCGACCCATATTCGACGAAATCCTTCCTGCAGTCAAACATTGAATTTTGTAGTTGAATATTTGCATTGATTCGTGAAAATTTTTTCACTAGAACAGGCAAAGCTAAAAAAACGAATTATCATGAGTTTCATGACCAGTGGAGAGGCAGTCCTCCACATTCAAAATACATGGAAAGAGAGGGTCTGCTAAAATACTAAAAAACGTCATTAAATTTTACCCTAAAACTTATGGGTTGTTGCACCAATTATAAAAGAATTCCTGAGACTTAGGTTGGTAATGTTCAGGAAATACATTTCCATTTTCCTACCGATTGTACTGAGGTGGGATTTTTTTAACAGCTTTTAAGGCTTGGAACTGGCGATAAAAACGCCACGTTGCAAATGAAACTTTCGAGGAGGCCGAACCTTTCATAAGCTCCTATAGTTTCTGTTAGGTCTCCTCGCCACTTCTTTTTTTTTTCTTTTCCTATATTTTTGTAATTGTTGTGTGGCAAATAAAATAAAATAAATAAACCCTCAACCAGAAAACTAAGCCACCTTATCAAGCGAGTTCCATGTTAGTTTCAACCAAAATCTGGGTAGGTCTAGATTACAAGAAATTACACACCACAATCCTGAATTCGATAATAGCTTTGAAAAGAACCTTTCTTTGCGTGTTAAAAGACAACAAATCACACGCAAATACCAAAGCAAACCTGCCTAAGTAACAAGCATTACTCATTCTTAAACATGTCACTCAGAAGTCTCTCTATAGGAACAGTTCCGATTGTCTTCTTGAAGAAAAGATCCTCGATCTCCTTGGCGCTGATTCGTCGTAAGGCTGGTAACAAAAGAAGCAGGCGTCCAAACCGCGCGAGCTGAGTGGGGCACTGGGCGCGAACATACTCCCCTAGCATGAGTTGGGCCTGGTCCTGGGTGGATTCCACTTGCTCTGGATCCTTGAGCCCGCACGCAGCTAAAAAAAATTGTACAAATGAAAATATTGATTGTAATGCACAATACACCACTGCAAAAAAAGCATCCTCAGCTTTATTGTTTTATCATTAGTTATGTCGTTGTTGCTTTTAGAGTGCCTTTAAGCTGACCTTCACTTACGACGTAACAGAATGCTTGCATGGGTGAGCAAAGAGAACCTAAACTAATACCGTATAATATAAGTTCGTTTTCCGTATTATTTTTTGTCTACCTAATTGCGTCGCCTGCGTAAAGATTCGTACGAGGTACAGAACAAAACTGACAGCAACAAACATGTATGTACCCCGAGGAGTGTACCTCCTTATATGGCCTATACGGGGATGTGCCGCTATACAGGGTAAGGTTTTTGTCCTCTCTGTCCTAGACAGGGTATTTAATTACGCGCGAGCCTGTTTTTAGGAGACTGTCTAAATTATAAACAGGGTATCAGCTGAACGATTGATTTGATTTGCTTGAGGGAATTTGTTTGTACCCCAACTATAACGCGAATTTGCTCTATTGCAATTGCCAATAATGGCTTTAAACCAAGACGACGTGCATTTTTTCTGTTGTCCTAAAGAGGGTGATAAAATTGAGTGTGGTGTCCTAAACAGGGTAGGTATTTTAGACTTTTTTTGTTTTAAACAAAATTCAGGGTTTCAAACTCTCAGCGGCTCACCTATACCCAAATATCGGTCGAGTAAACCCCTTCCTGTGGGTGTAAACCACTACATAATGAACGATGAAATGACATGACGCTACACTTACTTGGCTTGAAGAGCACTATCGCCTTGAGACAAGCGTATTCGGTAGAATCAACATTAGCAGCCTTGAACTTGTTGACTGTTTCTTGAATCAAGCGCACCGTTGCCATGACGTCGACAATTTTCTCTGGTGGCGTGCTGTCCACGTGTAAACCGGCAGCTGACAAAATTGGTGCGATTTCAAGTGGCATGGACCACTGGCTGGCACCAAGCAAAAATAGTTCCCTCCAACCTTCCTCTAGCAGAATTACCTATTGGCACATAGATAAAGTCATTTAAAATGAGTTTCTTTTTCATTTGCTCCTTTTGCTTTCACCTCAAGAAAGGTGAACGGCCCTTGTATTCACAATGTAGTCACCTACATGAGAACAAGATGATAAATCTCGTTCTAGTAGAAAAAAGAATTACGGACGGAAGGAAAGACGATAACTGTGCTGTACTATCAAAGCCATCATATCATGCTAGTTAAACGCCAGGGGCGTACTCAAGAAAATTTTATACGGGGAGGCTCCGCCCCGAGATCCAACCCTTTACCTGTCTTTTAAAGCAGCACCACTGACGTTTTCTCGACTCTTTCACAGGCATAAAATGAATCATTTGGCCCTTCTGGGCCTTTTTACAGACCCAAATGACAGATTTCCCTTCCCTTTCATATAATTCAACTAGTGACATCCCTACACTTTCATATACCTGAAGTCTGAAAAAGGTAATCAGTACCAGTTTCAGCACTTATGCACACGTACCAACTCCACGGTATGGCCAGTAAAAAGGTACCACTTTTGGCGGGAGCCATTCCCAATAAGCCTTTAAAGGGACTACCCCACTCTCCGGGGCTAAACGCTGAACCTTTATTGACCTTCTTTCGTTAAAAGGTGTTTTTCGTCTTCGTTATTTGACAGATTAGGTTGGCTAAGGTTATAAATGGTCTCAGGAGGCAAGTTTTGGTCGTAAAATTAACATCAGCATCAGCTAACGATACTCATAGAGTGTCTCGACTTTTTTTATATAGGCCCAGTTGTTCGAAGGTCTATTAGGGCTAACTAGGGGTTGAATTTTTAATCCAGGGCCGAGTTGTTCGAAGCTGGGTTAAGATAACCCAGGGTTAGTGCGAGATTTGAATTCAGATTTGAAAGCTTAAAAATCAGTTCAGTTTTAATTCTTTTTGTCTACAAGTTGATGATTGAAAGCTCTAAAAACAACAGAGGAAATTATCCGAGAAAAAGCTTTTGAACACAAGAGAAAGAGACCCGGGTTAAGCCCTAATCGGCCTTCGAACAATTGGGCCCAGGTTTCTTTTTCTTTTGTTTAAAAGCATTTTCTCGGATAATTTTCTCTACTTTTTTAAGAGCATCCAATCAACAAAGTGTAAATAACAAAAGTAATTAAGACAGAATCCATCAGGAAATTAAGTAATTTCAATTTTCAGTAGCCGAAACCCTTGTATCAGAATAATTTTAACAATACTACATTCTTTTTTACATTTTTCAAGGGCTCTAGATATAATTAGTTATCTGTAATAACACCAAAGACTATTTTTCATGGTAGCCCGAGAAAATAAATGTCAAATTTCACAAGGATTGTGAAAACACAGGTAAAATTCTGAAAATTTCATGTGTAAGCTGGGGATATCACTTTGTGAAATTTGACATTTATTTTCTCGGGCTCTCATAAGAAATATTCTTTGTTATTCTTTGGTGTTATTACAGATAACTAATTACATCTATAGCTCTTGAAAAATGTAACAAAGAATGCAATATTCTTTATTATTTATTATTCTGGTACAAGGCTTTTGTCCACTGAAAATTAAAATTACTCAACTTCCGGCTGATGGATTCCGTCTTGAACTAAGTTTGCTGTTAAGCTTTCATGATTATCTGAATTCAAATTTCCCATCAACCCTGGGTTAACCCAGCTTTGAACAACCCGCCCCTGATCTCTAAAGGGCAAGAACTTGACAAAGATGAAATTTGTCATATAAACTATAATATCAGACCTGTTGATGGTGTCTAGTCTAACCTGATCTCTGAAAGGCAAACTCATAAATGAGGGAATATTCCTGGCCCATTTTACGGACATAAACAACAGCTTCGCGGCCGCTTCACACACAGCCTCTGGATTCGAATAATACATAGAAACTGATATGTCAGATTGAAATCTGATTGGCTTATACTCCAGCCCAAGGTCAAAGTCGTTTGGCGGTAACTGGCATCCATCCATACATGTTTCAGCTGCCAGTAAAGTATTGATGAAACCACTTGTATTGTGCGGTACATGCGCAGTGCTACCAATCTCCATTCTATCTTGAGCTTCCTTGAGCATCTTCTGCTTTCGAAGAGTAGAGCTTCGGGGCCCGCGTTCATGTTGAACAGCTGAAAAATAATCAAGGTAGGTACTTTAAGTAGGGTTATTAAAGTGTATCAAGAATGCATTTAACATGATGTATTAACATAAGAAAGAGGACCTAATTGAATACACTCTGTCTGACCCCCGAATTTTGCACAAATCACTGTTTCAAATGCTCTTGGGAATATGCAGACAATCCAAAACTCCATGAATAAATTTTGTTGTAATTCTAATCTCATGTGTAGGTCTCATCTGCGAATGAAGAAAGATTAAAAATAATGTAATTTCTTTTACTTTTTTTGCTTTAAAAATACATTTTAAAAACGCCGACCCGACTTTCTTCAATTCCATTGCTTGTCCATTTCCTTCCACCCCGTCTACACCAAAAACATTCAGATTGCCGATATTACACTGTTAAGGCATTATCACTCTATGGTCTCTTTCACGAGCTGGACGTTAGTTTAAAGGGGAACGGGGAACGGGAAATGAAAAATGAGAGCTTGAACCCTAGCCCTGTCAGTAACTTCATTTCCAATTATCTCTTTTGTTCCCACTTTTCATTTCCCCTTTGCGTCAGCCACATGTAATTACTTCGAGTTTTGATTGGTTCAATGTATTGTCTGTGTCCTATGTGATTGGCCAGAGTAATTACTTTGGTTTTGGTTTTACGACACTCAAACGAAAACCACTCTATTGGGAAACATAAGTAAGAAAAAAAGTAGGCAACCAATGACCTTTCCAGACTGGACCTGGGAAACGGGACGGCAACGTTTGTTCATGGGAAACTGTAAAAACCAGCGAGCAAGAACCTCGAGGCTCTATTCTCCTAAGTTAGCCCAAAAAGGTCATTACTTATAATGAATGGTAATCAGCACAAATTTAGTCTGTTTGGGTTCTTAAACAGGTTTTTATTTACTGAAGAAAAAAATGCATTGTAGCTAAGAGTATTTAGTGCTATTCAACTTATTCCGTACATAAATCTGTATTCCAATTTACATTGCAATTGGAGTGACTGAAGGCACCTATATGTCTCCTGAGAGGATCCTGAATGTTGACTTATCTTACTTGCCCAAGTGTACAGAATTCTTTTAGAGATTTTAGAAAAGAAGAAACTGTTTCAAATTTTAGGCCAAGCAGGTTCTTATATAGAGGGCGCCTAAAAGGGGATTTTTTTTATCTTTTGCAGGTTACCTGAGGTCAATACAGAAACTAAAGAAATTACAGTTGCAAAATTAGACTACATCAAATTTTATTGAAAAACAGACGTAATTAAAAGATGTCGAAAGAACTTATTCGAAGAAAAAAAGAAATATAAGAACTGACGTTCCTAGGTTAGAGTGTAATAAATTAAAGGCGGTTTTTCAACTTGCAATTTGCAGTTTTTTTTTGCAATTACGCAATCATATCAATGACGTCGAAATATTCTCAGTTATCATTCCTAGATTTCGCATAGTTTCAGAGAAAATTTATTCTCTTATTCGCCAACAACTTTGATAAGTTTAAAAAGAAAAGTTTCGTAAATACAAATAAGAATTTGATAGTTGGCTGCAGTTTGTCGAACTGTGAAAGTTCTGCTATTTTGAAATCATTGGCCATACTATTCAACTACTGCGGCGAACATTCTTTAGTGTTGTTTTCTTTGTGCCAAGATAAAGGAATGTTTTGTAAACTTGTAAAGTAATAAAAAAAATTTAGACAATAACAAAACGCCCAAAATTCTTGATAAAATGAATTCAATGCAACTGACGAAAATTCGTGGGTTCGTTGTATGCGTATTTTTAGCATTAAAAAATGCTTGTCGTTGGCGTTCTGTGTCGTGAAAGTGATTTATAATCAACCGCTTACACCAAAAACAGAGCGATAGACAAAGGGCCATTCATACACAAATAAGTATCACACGAGCCAAAATCAGCGGGTAGCGTTGTCAAATCTTTTGATCTATACACGTGCCCTTGAAATTATCGTGAAATATTAATTTTTGTCAATTAGGAATGTCATATCGACGCGATAAATCAAATTTAAGCCGATAATCTAAAAAAATTGGGGAAATGTTTGAACACTGAACACAATGCGTGTCTTGTTAAATCCAATTATAACAGATCGTTTAACTTCAAAGGAGCTTCGGTAGAGAAAAATATGGCAAAACTTTTATAAATAGAAAAGGATCTCTTTTTAATCGCGGTAACATTCAATTAGCAATTATAGTTTATCTGCAAAACGCAATAAAGGACTTTAAAACTTGCAAACAAATTTAAATGATTTCATCTTTGTAAAATTTTGCGCTGATTATATAATCTATAGGATCTGGCTACATCAGTAAAACAAAAGTTCGTTAATGGCGATTTAGTTTCGGGCTTGAAAATGAAAAAGCAAAGTGTTTAAAAGACAAATTCTGGGTATGTATATATCATTGGTTCAAATCTGTTTGAAGACACGGAATACTAAAAGCAGACGTAGCAAAGCGATTCAAACTGTAACTGGGTGGCTTTTTAGCTCAAAGAATTTTTGACAAAATGATATTTCACTTAAGAACATAATGTACGCATTCTTTTCAAGTGACACAGGTGTTTCGAAACATGTTTTAATTTGTGGTGAATATTTGATCTTCAGCTTGCGGCGAAGCCCACTGCTGTGAAAAAAGTTGAAACAACATTAAAAATTTACATGGTTTTGACTCCCTACTGTAAAATCTCTGAAAAGTGTTACTTAAATTATCACCTATTCGAGCATTTGATAACGTTGGAAGCTGATATTTCTGATAGTGGATTTAAAAAATACATCAGGATGAAGTGCTACAGCCAGAAACTAGAATGAGTTTTGCTCTGTTAAACTAGGCCTTTGTACGTTCGTGTGTGTTTGTAGTGTTTATGGCAAAAAGTCTTGTTTTATTTTGATAGAGAAAACGGTTTGCTGATGCAGCAATATTCAGTTTGGAAATGAAAAAAATACAGACATCTTACGAACACAAAAACCTTCTGTATATATTTGAGGATAACGTAATCAGGCTGTATCCAAACTTAATATAGTGTACAAGATGTGTTAATAAAATGTGATACTTCTCTGAGACCAAAGTTCAATTAGTAGAGAGCAAATAAAATGAGAGTTAACAAGCCGAAAACTTACAGGGAAGCTACGCGAATCTCAGTGAGTATTTCAGTCGGTACAGGCCAATACACTCAATTAGTGTCAGCTTGCTTAAAAACAGCTAACGTTCACGTAGAAATCTATAAGTTTTAAAGCAATTTTTTAAGGTAAAATCTTATTGATGCTCCCCAAAGAAATTAGCTATTTGCAGGTTGAATGTCGGATTTTCAAGTAATCCTGGCAATTGAAATTCATTTGCAAGTGGTTTTTCTGTTATTTCGAAGTTCATTCAGTATACAATCAGATTTTATAATTATTGGCAAATACTTAGAGACTTGAAAATCGGTGGTCTTCGACTTTTACTTAGTCGAAGTGTCAATTAGATTTAAAGCTCATTATACGAAGTGATAATGAAAATATTTTGTGTGATGACAAATTTCGTTATCGCTTTGTTCCGCCCATAAACATTTGTTCTCCCTTTATGTAACAAATCACCATTTAATTACGAAACTACTTCTACATCAGTAAGTTTTAACCCTAAGTACACAAAATTCGACAGTAACGTTCTTCTCTGTAAACAGAAATGGAGGAATAATTTTTCTCTTATTTCTTAAAACCGAAACCAAGTACCACCATCCGAAAATTTGGGGGCCTATTATACTCCAATAGCCGCTGCCTTTCCATTTTACAGTATCTCTCAACAGCCATAACTGACAATTTTCGACAACATTACGGAGATCTCGACTCTTTACTAGCTCTTCAGCATGACTACTATACATTAACTTTTTGATCTTCTTTGTAAGCCAAAATCCTGGAAGCTTCAACACTCTCATTCTGAACACATTTATACGCTTGCTGCGAGCGACCTCCCTCAACTAATTATTCGGTCTATTTGATCCCCCGGCCAGCTACCTTGGTGTGAATTATCTTTCGTGCTGGAAAGGAATTCTTGAGATACTCACCGTGGGGCATCGTTCGGTGAAAACAATAAAATAAAACAAAAATACACCTATTAAAATTGAATTCTAATAGAGTCGTTTAGTACTTGTGCACTAATCTTTTAGATTTGGAGAGAAGAAAATTCACTTCAACCAATCTCTTTGTCGCGTTTTCCCACCTTAAAAATGCCCCAAAAAGAAAAATTTAGCATTTTAGTATTTTACAGAATTTGATTCCTGAGTAAAGAAGAAAATTTGGCAGTTTCGCTACTTGTACTTATTTCCCCATAACATAATATTTTTGAAAAATACAGCAATTTTTTGGTAATGCTTGACAAATAGCCATATTGCCAAATGTATGAAATAGATATTTGCTATCTCAGCTTATTTTAGAAGCCATGGGGAGTGTCCATATTTATTTTATTATTCTTAATGTTTTTTGTTGATGTTGCTGTTGTTGTTGTTGTTGTTTGTGCGTGGATAAAGTAAACTAGGAAAGTAGCACGAACAAATGTTTCAAATGATATTAAAAAGAATCGATTTTGATGAAACTTGGTCAAGTTGCTGATGAGTTTGTTTACCTTCCCTGAAATGATTAAAACCGATTTCAACTGAAATCAGGAAAATAACCAGTCCCTCCAACCAATCTTATTTATTTTAAAGAGGCAAACATACTGTAGTAAATGCTGAAAAATATTTGGCGATCGTTTTTCAGTTCTCACTTCTGAATAGTGACGCGAGCCAGATATGAACCTCCGGCAGGGTTACTATATACTGTACGGGTAGCGCTGCGTTGTTAATTTGCTGTACAAGATTTTCTTTAAGTAGAACCCATCTGTTCTATTAGAAACAACCAATAAACAAAGCTAAATGCAGCGAAACCGTCAGCGGAAGAGCAAAACTTTGCTCTTCCAGTCCCACGTCTTAAACGCTTTAAACTGAATTAGCATGACTTCAAAGAAAACCTTTCATCATTCTGGCTTCAAAATTCAGATGCTTCAAAATGCCTCGAATTTACTTGCCCGAGGATTAATAAATCAATTCTATAGCCATAAGTGGAGACGTTTTAAGCCAGATGAATTTTGTGCTTAAAAGCAAATTTATTAAATACGCCCGAAGCCTCATTTTATCTTCACACCTTTTTTGTTCCGAAGAAAAAAAGTTCAGAAGCTGAAAAGCGAGTAATTTCCTGGGCCTTTTTACCCTTAATTACATGTCCTTTTTAGATTTTGCCAGCTAATGAACATATTGAAGCCGATTAATTCGTTTTTTCCTGCAAGCAGGAAATTCTGTGAAACCTTTTCATAGAGAGAAAGAAATATTAAATTCATTATTCACTGTTAACAGGGGACAGATGAGGGATAAAAATAATGTAGAATTAAAAATAATAATATTCCATACAAAACCGGGACGTGGCCTAGGATTAGAACAAATCTCTGAACAACACACTAGAAAGCTCTTTTAATGGTTTGTGATGATAAATTCGTATTAATTTTCAGGTATTTGTCTGTAGTTCTGTTAATTTCCCTTCCAATTTAGTGAGGCTACCATGAAAAGAGCTCGCACGGCCAAACAAATCAACTTGGAGGACTATTGAAATTCGAGTCATTTTCTCGCGAATTTAATTCATCTGTCAGTTCACTTAATTTTAAATTTTTACGTCTAGCTTGGAAGACCTTTCCTGCGTTTTGAACGAAGCTTATCACACTCACTTTGTACACGATTGTTAAATAATGATTCCAGAGAATCTTAACACCAAAAGCTTTTCGGTAGTTAAAAATAAAACGTTAAAGAGACCCGACAAGAAAATGACTTTTAAATGACTTTTTCTCTATACACAGGCAACTGCACGAAAGAGTTAAAAGTTTGGTTCGAAAATCAATCACTTTTTCTTTATGTTTAATATCGGAAAAGTCTTTTAATGTAATTTCATTATAATGGTTCGTTTCACCGTTTGCTCGGAGACAAAGGCGCGCGCTTCCATTACCAAAAATAATGCTTTGGCGAAATTGATTTTATAGGGAAGGGAAAATGGAGACAAAACGATCACATGCGAAAAAGTTTCTTGCTATTCCTCGCTGGGAATTATCGTGGAAATTCTGTTAATTTTTAACCACTAAAACTACGACTGCTGTATAAAATCCAGTCTGAAAACATCAAATTTAGTTCGACACATTGAGTGAGGTATATTATCTAATCGTTGAATACCTTAGTAATGTAAGGTTGGTGGGAATTTGAAGAATAGTGAGATCGTTCAGATGTTCTTTCTTTAAGCGGACGAAAGTCAAACAGTTTTAACGCTTCCTTCGAAGAATCCGATTATCATTTAAACGGTCGGAAAAAACCCAGTGGTTGTTTTATAGGGTGTTAATAGGAGAAATGTAAATATTCACATTAAAAACTCTGTTGATTTTAAAAATTCTATGTCATAATCACGTTTGCGCTATCAATAAATACGACCGTTAATAGTAAGCGAAATATCTACAAAACGTCTAGAATGGCAATTTTTTTTGCGCGGTGAAAGGGCTTAACGGGCGAGTAGAGTTCCTCTCGCTACACGAGTCACAGCCTTAAAGCAATTAAAGAAAAGTACTACATTACTTCTATCCTCTTACCATCCTTGTTCATGGTCACTTCGAAGCATTTTTTCAGTCGGCAGGAGCGGCACTGGTTTCTATGGATTTTATCCACGGGGCAGTTTCCCTTACCATTCGTAGCTCTGCAAGTGTATGAACGGTTCCTACGTATGCTTCTTTTGAAAAAGCCACTACAGCCATCACAGGCATATATTCCATAATGCTTACCGGAGGATCTGTCTCCGCAGACTTTGCAGGGAATATCCAAGAGACGACCTTGACAAATTCGAAAAAGAAAGATAGAGTAACTCACTTCGGTTTAGGAGAGGTTAGGTGAGTCAGTAAAAGGCCTGTAAAAAACTTCCTGGTTTAATATCTATGTAGTATAAAGTTCGTTTAACTATATTTACCGTTAGGCTTGGATTTGTCACTCTTGTCGAAATCCATTTCGTTTTCTCGATGATCAGAATTCATTCTGGATGGAAAAATTGCTGTAGTCAAGGTCCACATCCAATTTTACCGACTTGCGCGAGTTAACAACGTTTTACGGGTATTGTGCGCCGTGCTACGAGAGGCCAGATTAATAGCAAATGTCAGGAAGGCTTAAGAACACGGCTGTCGTGATTGGACGAACCAGGGCCATTACTGTCTCACTTTCTATTTCTCGCGAAACAACAAACAATTTGATTAAGGCGTTTGATTCGCTCACACACTTAAAAGCATTGTTAGACGGCGGTTACTGATATATGCCAAGTAAATCAAGCTCATAAACGCCGAACCGTTTATTTTATATACAGCAGGAAAACATTCTTGCGTGAACCAATTTTTCTCACTGTTTTCCATTCGCTATCTCTCGCAAAATTTGTTTTTATAAGCGCTTCCAAATCCTATTCTTCTACGCATACTTAACTTTCGGATGACTTTCAAAATATTGTTTGATGTGTTGATAAAATATTTAACGGGTGAATACTAACTAAATTATTTAAAAAATATCACCCAAAAATATCAATCTTTCAATCATTAAGAATTTAATCAGAGATAACCTAGAGACGGAGAGCGATTAAAACAATTTTGTCAGCGGGTTGAAAAACTTTTTTAGAAGATTGCGATGGCAAATTATTGACTCCTTCAAGGAACGGTGCTAAAAAGCAAACCAGAAAGAAAAGGAACTAGTCAGCTTTCTAAAACTGACAGGAATAACTCAGTTTCAAAGAGTTGTGACACTTCACCAAGCCAATTGGATTCGCAGCCCGGTTTTGAATGACACGTGAAGAATCGAACAAAAGAAAATGGGTGGTTGATGCCTATAGATTGACGCGTTTTCTATTCTTCCTTTTCTCCCACATTCCACCCACCTGTCAATCCAACAATTTCGTTTTATGGCACCTGCCTTTGTCTCTTGCTTGCACCTGGCACGAGCACTGTAATAATCGCTGGAAAAAATATATTTTCTAATTTGCGTTTGTAATTCTCGCCCTTTAAACCTTCTCCGTGCTAAGAACGCAAGTAAGTCAAACTAAATCCATCTTCCAGAAACATCCGATTCCCTCAGGGCGGCTAGACCAGTTTATATAAACATAACTGTTTTCCTTCCTTGTTGAAAACTTTTTATCCTGAATTAAATCGTTTATAGTTTTTCCATTGTCCAGTTCAGAGCAATTAGGGATGGTAAATAATTTCGCGCGTGGTCTAATTATCACTTAAGCAGACGGCAAGCAAGCCGTGAATGAATACTTGAAATTAGAGAACAATCACTCACATTCGATGTCGGAAATCAAACGGATGTATTGTTCCTTCCAGGAACGTTTTTGTTTCGCTTTCGTTTTGACTTTTCTTTTTGCTTAAAAAGTGAAAAATCATTGGTGTTACAAAAGAAGTCTTTTAGCACGTGCCACTGCTCTATTTACTTAACGCCGAGTCAAGGAATGAAAAATAAGAGCTTCTTAGCACGCGATAAGTAGCTAATATAAAGTGCTTGTCAAAGCAACGTTTTTACACTTAATCGCCCCTGCAGTGTTTCCCATCCTTTACAAATATTAAGTTTAGTAAAATGTTTAGAAAATGATAGGTGAAATGAAAAAAAACGGCGACAGAACAAAACAGAGGCCTCGCGAACTGCACTCGGTATTTTGAGTTCAAAAAGACGAAGCTGTATTGGGTCGAGAAGGGTAATTTATTTTCAATTTAAAGAACGTAAATAGCAGTAATTTAATGTTTATGGAAAAAAATTTGAAATCTAATGCGAAGTAAGTGGAAATTTAATCGAAATAACTGTGGCTTATAGAAGGTAGATCGGCAATCTAATCCCAAAAGCTAAAATTCAGTGCCTTAACAAAAAAAATTGAAACCATTATACTGTACAGAGTGTAAAACAGCGAAAAAACGACTAAGTGGTCCTTTTCAGTTAAAAGTTATTTTTGGCTGTGTGCAATGCACTTGAGCTGGAGTTTTCGCTTTTAAACCTGTAAATAAGGTAACTCAGTACCACCATTATTCAAATGGCGCTTTCTTAACCAGTACTTTTCAGTGAGAAGTTCTTTTTGATATTGTAGTTGTAAAAGCCTCCGAGGAAGGTCTGCCATTTGGGGACCGACATTGTGATAAGTTATGATCCGCAAGCGAGAGGCACGCGAAAGAAGACGCGGCTTTGTTGCTCCTCGCACGTCTCCTATTCGAAGTGGAGAGCTTGATCCCAAGCTAATGTGATTGTGGTGTTTCCACAATTTTGTATCCGTAATTAAAGTCAACCAATGTTACGTTTCAAATAAATGGGGCCACTGAGCAGTAATTCCCGGCTGTGGTACTGTTTATTGGTTGTCTAGTTAAACAGTGTGACAATCTAAATGAGAAAGTCAAGATAAGCTATTGATCGGCATGAGCAAGGGTACTCTCCTATGACAGTGGCTACATATACATTTGCAGTGTAGTGAAGGTGGGTACTGCCATATGTAAGCTAGCGATGTGCCGCGGAATAGGGTATGGTCTTTGCGGTGGTCAAACCTGAAAAGGGGATCTGTTTGGCTTTTATGATCCTTCGATAAGGGCTAAATCGCAGAACACTAATCCAGCCTGTTAAAAACCAAACACACTGTACAGTTATAGTATTCACAACATGCAAGTAGAGCACTGTACATTTAGACAAAAAGATTCTCATTCACCAGTAGCTAGAAATTTTACAGAGGTACTGCGAATCCACGTTACTCATATCCTCCTCCCAAATGAAATCATTTTCGTTCCAGTGGCTCGTTTGAATCTCCATCTTTTTTATCCTCAGTGTGGTGACGTAATCATCACTTGGCTAACTAAAGGCTTTTGTTTTTCAGGCAGCAGGATGGCTGGCTTAACTTTCTCGTGTGGTAAAATCAAGGAAAACCGTGACAGCGCAGTTTGTTGTCAAAAATATGAATAGGTAAAACGGAGTTAAATAAAGAATTGCGCTGTTATTAGCTACCTTTAATTTAGCTCCCTTTCTCGGCTTTTTTCTATTTTGCTGTTGTTACTGGTTGTTTTCTTTTTTATCTTCAACAGGTTTTCAGGTTAGTTTTTGGTTTCTTAATATTATTTATAGTTAAGTGACTTGAATTCAAATTTGGCAGCACCCCAAAGTCTTTGAAACTTTAAATTTATCTCTGAAGGTTACAAATACTGGGTAAATAACACAGAGCAGTAAACTCTATTAAGCATGACGCTACCTCTTAAAAAAGTTATGACTAAGGATCCTCTTTAACTTACCTGTTTTGGCTTCAGTACACGAGTTACTTCCTCTGTCAAAATTGATGGCAGGAACTTGCATTGTTCAGGAGCCAAAGGCACAGATTTGTTAAGCAACTTAATGGCTTTAGTTTGAAGGGTTGAGAGTTGGAAAAATAGATAAAAAATCTAACCGGATTTTTGAAAACGAAGCTAAAGAAGCTGTCAGCCATTTGAGAGGAAAAGGACCAAAAGGAAGGTTTCTTTTGCGTCCTATGAGCCCGAAAATCACACTAATGGACGCCGGAACTTAATCGCTGAGCGAAACTATAATAAAAGGATCGAACGTGATCTCAGGTTAATTCTATCAAATGCCTCAGCGTGTCTAAAGGCACCTCAAATAAGAGAAAAGACTCCAATTTCTGCTTACGCAGGAGGATCGAGTTGAAATTCAGATATAAGAAGCCGACTCCAGCTGAAGTCCCAGTTATAACAGCGCAGGCGAGTCTGCAGTCTAGGCAAAACAGGTAGCTTTAGCATCGACGAGAACGTCCCTCTAAAAATGAATTCGCTTTTTTCAAACTTTATCACGTTTATTTCAGTTCCCATGCTGAAAATGTCAGTTGTAGGCGAATTTCCCTGGAGTCGATATCTTGGGAATCGCACTCTCAAGTTTAGAAATTAGGGAACGAAAAATGCGTCGTCGCTTGTTAACGTCCTCCATAAAACGCGAAATTTAGGAGGCATTTTCACGTCAAAGTCGTGCAGTGATCGACAGCAAAGAAATGTAAAAAACCTGTGATTCACGTGCAAAGTTGTTGTTTTGCTTTATAAACCTATTGCTTTTTTGACGTTCTCAGTTGCAGTAGCCGTCGTCGTTGCCAAAGCTTCCTATTTTTTTTAATTAAATATAAGAATAAGTTTTTGCTAATAACCTATTATAGCTGTAGTTTGTGTTGTCCATGAACCAAATGCACGTTTTTATTGACCAGTAGCAGTTTCTTTTTCACTGAGGTATTTTAAAGCCACAAAGATCAAATGATCGAAAGTGGACCCATTTTGTGCGTGGTCAAAGCACCAATGATCCCGGATGTAAACGTCATTGATGGGTTCAGCGGAAGGGTGTAACGAAGAAAGTTGACGGAAACTGAACAAGTTGATGGAACAAAACTGACAATTGCATGCATCACTGCAAATATATATTCATTTTTTAAATGTCTCTTGCCAGGGAAAAAATCCGCGCCCAAGAAATCCTCAACGCCGATTTTCCGCAAAGAGAAATGTAGTGTCAATCACTTATGAGGCACCTCAGTAGACTTCCAAATACTACTTGAACACCCAATATACAGTTCTGGATGCGCTTTAACCTGCTTTAACTGATTGCTGAGTAATGTTGGGCATTTTGACTGTCAGCCTAGAAATTAGTCTTTTCGTAAACTGGTAGTTTTCAAGAACTCAGATCCAAAGGGTGCCAGAAAATTAAAGTTAGTGTGCCGAGGGCTGAAATTTTAATCGGCAGTAACCTGTGAGTGCAAGCGTTTTAGAGAAAGAAAAAGGGTGAGAAAGAATTGAGTAGCGCAATATCGCGATGGGAGCGATGTGATACCTCGCGCGTCCTTTGAGTACTTGCGTGCATCGATTCACCCTTTCCCTTCTGTTCCAAACGCCTGTCAGGCAGGGAATAAAGAAAATAGAGGATTATAAAGGAACAAAGTGGATAAAGTAGGGAATAAAAGGAAAATCAAAGGAATGAAGGCGCGCAGGAATGCGGCAGGAGCTATGGGCTAGCTTGATGTGCGACCTTTGAATACATGCTCGCG